AAAAAAAGGAGGGGGTAACAGTGCTCAATAGGAAATGTACTCATTACCTTACTCATGTAAATGCAACTCCTTTGTACAGTATCTTTACAACAAAAAATAAAAAAAGATGGATTGCCCATTAGTCTAGCTTTCGTGCCCCAGAGTTTTTTCTCAGGGGCTTTCTGATAGCCAGCAGGTGAACATCCACCCACTTCTCCTTTCCTCCTTTATCTGAATCGCCACTTATAGACTCACAGGCTTGTACATGATCACACATGATTCCAACACTTAACTATATCCTATATCCTAAGCACACAAACCCAGAATCAGTACCTACTGTGACTCACAAGAATAGAATCATGAGTCCATTACACACTTGCATATACTTGTGTCACACACATCCTTACTTGTACGTCTGCCGTCATTGTGCACGCATAAATACACACACCACTTTGTTAAACTCTCTCTCTCTCTCTCTGCCAATCTCCAAAGGGGCAATTCAGGCATCTTTAGGAGAAGTACAAATTCTCTGTATAAATTCTCTGTATACACACACAAAAAAGTCTCCATGAACTCTCAACTTCCAGGAGGTTCTCTGACCTGCCATCCCTGGGACCTAAACAGAGCAAGGTGTTTGTTGAGTGAACGAATAAAACATTAACTAGTTATAATCTGATTCTTCATGTTTGCCTTAGAACCACCATTGTGGTGTGATATCTGTGAGTTAACTTCAATGTTTTGCTCCTATCTTTTGTTCAACAGAACAAGTATTCCTAAATACTAATGCCTTCTTAAAGCTTACCTGTTGAGTGTCTCAACCAAAAAGCAAAAGGTAGAAAAGGCACCAACTGCCCAACCTCTCTCCTCACCCAAGTCCTGCTCAGGAGTGTAGTTGATGGGTAGGCTACATCTTAAGCAGGATGTTGCTCAAAACAGACAAGATATAGATGAGTTCTTTGGGCCACTGTATAGTGACAGGAGTCCCTCTTCTCTATCCAGAGAGAGCTGCAGGTAGGGCAGTGTATCAAATGTATTTTCCTGGTGGTTGCACAGCATGCTAAACACCATATCATTCTTAGATTGTGGCCAGACCTAAGGCTCTTTCCGGTGCCTGCCCAACTCCATACTGCAAAACAACCTCTGCTATCGGAGCAGAACCAGTTTCTCCCCACCTGGCTTCTCCAAGGCGAGTGCATTAGAGCCAGGTGGTTTGTTTCTCATTGGCTTTCTTCTTCCTCAGATGGAGGGAAGAGGGTCCATTTCTGCCAGAGGATAGGTTATCTGCCTACAGTTGCCTTAGCTAGTACTGGAACTATATGAAATTGTCATCTCTGCAGGTTAAAAATGTCCTTTGTCAGTCATTTCATCAGGCTCAAAGCCCTACTACACTTTCAGAGATAAGGTAGATAAGAATATTTTCCCAGCTTGATCCTTTCTCCAGTAACAATAGATCGGTTGGATTGGAACCAAAATATACCTAAGAAATCAACAAAAGGATTTGATTAGTGAAGATTATTATCAGCATAATATATTAGTAAAATGATACCATTGGACCTTTGATGAGGAGTTGCTAGGCTGGGAAATCAGTTTAGTTCTTATTAACAGGAGAAAAGCCTGCTGTACAGGAAAAATTCCACTCATCTGACCTTCAGTCATTTCTGTGTTGGACCTTTCCCTAAGAAAATAATGTCCAATCAGGATCAGGAGCAGAGTCTCTCAGATCTTTCTGCCCAGGCTGGCTTCAAACCACAATCCTCAGATCTCAGCATCCTGAATAGCTAGGATTACAGGCACCGGCCACCAGTGCCCAAGCTGCCATGGTATTTTTAAAAAAGCATTTGTGGATTGGTATTAGTGGCTCATACCAATAATCCTAGCTACTCAAGAGGCTGAGATCTGGGCAAAGATCAAAGCCAGCCCGGGCAGGAAAGCTTGAGAGATGCTGAACTCCAATTAACCAGCAAAAAGCCAGAAGTGGAGCTGTGGCTTAAGTGGTAGAGCACCAACTTTAAGTGAGAAAACTAAGGGACAATGCCCAAGCTCTGAGTTCAAGCCCCACATGCACCCCCTCACCCCCACATAGAGATTTGTGAGCTGCTATCATTAGCTGACTAGGATATGAGCACTTTTGCCCAACTGAGCCTCAGACCACAATCCTCCTACCTACACCTCCCAAGTACCTAGGATGAAAGGCACCAAGCTCCACAGCCAGCCTGTTTGTTGAGATGGTATCTCACCTTTTTTTTTCTAGACTAGCCTTGAATCTCAATGTTTCTGATCTCTGCCTTCCTAATAATTAGGAGAGATTACAGTTTTAAATAAGGTGGTTAGGCTGGCATCACTAAGAGAGTAGTGATATTTGGGAAAGAAAAGCTATAGGTAGTAAAATATACATGTAAAAACTCTTTAGGTCTTGTGGGAGAATCCAGGAGGTAACCTGGCTGGGGCTTCTGGAAGGCGTGCAGAAATCTTGCCATAAGTTTCCAACTTCACTTGCCAGCTGATTATCAGTGCAGAGCATCAGCATTTGAAAGGAGCAGGTATGGGTAGTCATTCCAGCTCTTACTGTACAGATAGGGAAACCAGTGCCCAGAAAAAGGGGCAATGGCATCCTTGGGATACACAGCCTCATCCAGCCTCATCTGCACTTAAAGATTCGATGAGCCGGGCACCAGTGGTTCATGCCTACTCAGGAGGCTACTCATAGCTACTCAGGAGGCTAAGATCTGAGGATCATGGTTCAAAGCCAGCCCGGGCAGAAAAGTCTGTGAGACTTTTTTTTTTTTTTTTTTTTGGTCTGGTCATGGGGCCGGAACTCTGGGCCTGGGCGCTGTTCCTCAGCTCTTCAGCTCAAGGCTAGCGCTCTACCACTTGAGCCACAGTGCCACTTCTGGCTTTTTTCTTTTTTCTTATGTGGTGCTGAGGAATCAAACCCAGGGCCTCAGGCATGCATGGCAAGCACTCTACCACTGAGCCACCTTCCCAGTCCCCTGTGAGACTTTTATCTCCAATTAACCACCAGATAACTGGAAGTGGTGCTGTGGCTCAAGTGGTAGAGCACTCACCTTGAGCTGAAGAGTGCAGGGATAGCTCCCAAGCCCAGAGTTCAAGCCCCATGACCGACCAAAAAAAAAAAAAAAGTAGATGATCTTTCCCTGAGACCTCAACTTCCTCCTTGGAAGGAGAAATGTCAGGTTGGCTTTTCCCTCTCCTGACAGACTGTACCAGCTTCATGTCCAGATCACGCCCTTCCCCCATGATCTCTGCCACATTTTAGGTAGCACAGTCTTTCCTGATTGGAGATTTTTTTCCAGGCAGGCTCCAGGTGTATGCTAAGAAGATAGCAACAGACTGTTGTTCCTGGACAGGAAGGAGTTCCACAGGCCATCAAAACAGAATCACAAAAGAATCTTTCCACTTGGCTTGGATGACTCATATGGTCTTGTGAGCTAAGATTCTGTGCTTTCCACTCAGTTCCTCTTCCTTGAGGGCCCAAGGAGGGGAAGTATCTGGTGGCTCAAAAGAAACTTGGGACTTAAGGGGTCAAGCATTGTAACCCATGAGGAAGTTAGAGCTGCGAAAGGTCATGAGATTGTGACAAAGCCAAGCACAACAGTCAAATGAACGCAGTTACATTGTGCATCCTTCCCTGGGCAAGGAGATTGGGGTATTCAGGAGCCCATTTTTGCAAAGGTCAGAACTTTTGACTCCTGATTCTCAGGTGAGCCCCGTAGAGTTGAAAAATCCCTAGATCTCTCCCCAGTTCTTGGGTTCTAAAAGCTTCAAAGATTCCCCATGGCTTAGCACAGCCCCAACAGTGGTGGTCCTTATCTGCCCTCCTCCAAGTGCCCACCCCCCCTTGCGCCCACCCATGTGTTTTGCCCCCAATCAGGAGTCAGCCTGGTCCTTGGCTATTCCCACACCCTCTTCTGTTCTCATCTTGAGGCTCACAGAAGCTGTGACTTTGAGCAAGTGGCTTGGCCTTTTGCAGATAGCTTTCTCTCTAGGGCAGAAATATCTGCTGCTAATGATGACAGTAGTCACCATTTATTAAGCAAGCTCCCAGTGCCAGGTTTTAGGCTGAGAATTTAACGTATTTTCATTTCAGTCAACAGCTCCATAATATAGTTCTATTATTTTTATCTTACTAGAATACTGTACAACGTTTGTTTTGTTTTGTTGAGATACCATAGCTCATACTCAAGGGCTCAGGATTGAACTGAGGCCAGATTCTAAACTCTGCTATCTAAGCCCAGGTCTCTTTAAGGAGCTTCTTTACAGAAGTTAATTGATAAAGGATTTTCAACATATTTGAGAATTAAAATATAGTCTCTTACCACCCGACCTGGGGAGGGGGGAGAACTCCAAGTCAGACAATCCACAAAAATGGAAATACCAATAAGGGAAAAAGCTAACCACCCTAGTAAAATGAAACAAGTCGAAAGTACTGCCTGGTGAGGAGGTGATGCGAAGCCACCCTCCGTAACCAAGAGAACCATCAGGGAAGAGGGAACCTGGCACCCCAAGCTTGGATTCCCAGCCTGCAGACCTGCGAGAAATAAATTTCTGTTTTTGTAAGCGCTCTGTCAAAGATAGTATCATGTATTGCCTCTAAGGAAAACCCAGAATTTGTGCAATAAAGGAAATGTAATCAACAGCCAGCAAACGCTTTTTTGCTTGTTAGATTGGAAACGATCGCTTAGAAACCAAATAGCTACACAAAGGTCCAGAGTGTCATTGACAGCAAGCCCTCCCTAAATTTGTTTCCCCTCTCTGAATTTTTAATTCATCACAGGCGAAGCCTCACACAGACAATAACAAGGAACAATAAAAACATTTTATGGTAATTGCCAAACGATTTTATGACAAGCAGTTACAGGACGGAACACCTGGGGCTCGGACAGCTCAGCGTCGCGGTGGGCGGGTGGATCCCGGCTGGGTCCCGCGCAGTGGGGTTAGGGGAGTCCAGTGGTGGGCGTGGCCGCAGGCGGGGACGCGCCGAGGGACTACAACTCCCAGGTACCCTCGCGCTGCCTCCCTGGGACCACGTGACTGGCGCGGTCCGGGGCGCCGTCGCCGCGGCTGCTAGCGAAGTTGGATCGGAGACCCGGGCCGTGCACCCTTCCCGAGCGCTCACCATGGCGGTGAGTCCCGGGCGCCTCGCAGAATGGACGCGGGTGGGGGAATCCCTCGGAGCAGCAGCCTCCGCACCCCGAGGTCCTCCCAGCCCCGAGTCCCGGGCTGGTGAGGGGGTGTGTTGGTGGCATCGTCACCGCTGGTTCGGGGCTGGGGGACGCGGCAGGTGCGGCTGTCAGAGGCTCCCGGAGGTTCTGTCTGTCGGTCCCCGCTGCTGGGAGTCCTTCCAGCCGGACGCACGCGCGAAGGCGGGCTGGGGCGCGGCCCGGGCGGATCGGCGAGTCGCGGGGGGTCCCAGCTCCGGGCGGTGGCCGGAGTCGGGGTGAGTGGGCTGCGGTGGGGTGCGAGCAGACGCGGTGGCTGGGGTTCTAGGGAGGCGTTCCTCAGCCGAGCCCGGCGCCGTCCGCGCACCCCACCACCCCCAGCCTGCCTGGGACAAGTGCCTGTTCCGGAGCTCAGGAAGAGCTTTTTCTATTCTTTTATCCTGGTTAGGGCTCACCTGAGCTGGAGAGGCGGACAGCTTCTAGCAGACTTTGGGGCTTTGGAGAAATCATGTCCCTTTCCTCACCTCAGGAAACAAGTCCCAGAAGCTACAGGCTGTGCAGACTCTTTAGCGCCCACCCCGCCCCCTTGCTGTTCTTGAAAAAGGGGCGAGAGCCCTCCCTGCGGGACCCTCAGCCCCTAGTTCTTTTTTTTTCAATCGAAGTGTCGGTGACCCCAAAGGAAGAAATTAAAACAAGTCTTGTGGATTGTTTACTCCATAATCGGCCACAGCTCCTCCCTGTCCAGGGTGGGGCCCTGACAGAAGCACCGATAAATTACACTGCCAGAGACTGAGATTCCTCCCCCGTGAGAAAACAAGATTGGGGGCCTGCCTTATGCATATCTCACCATAAAACTCTGGACCTGAAAATTGCAGATGGAAGTCTCTTAAGTTAGGATGTGCTGATTTGAATTTGAGCAACAGGACAAGAGGGCGGAAGGCCTAGCAACCTGTGGGGCTTTGCCCCTCCCCCAGCTTCCTACTCCCTGGGGAATGGGAACTGATGCTGTCTGGGTTCCTCTAGTTCTGAACGCTCTGCAGACTGTCTTCCCAGTAGTCTCCTGCTCCCTGTACTTCAGAGCTGCTCTACCCACCTGCTCTACCCACAGGTGTCACCCAGATGGCTTTGTCCCCACATCTCCAGGTTCCCGACACCGTGCCTTCTTGTCACTGGCTTTTTTGAAGTTCTGGATATGGGACATACGGACTTGTGACATACGGACATATGGACTTAGGCATCATTGAACTACATCTCCATCCTGCCTACTGTTTCTGATACCATACAACCTGTTGTAATGATCTGTCTACTTCTCTATCACTAGATGGTGGGCTCCAGGAAGGTTTTTTTGCAGTCATCTCTGTGTCTCCAGGGTCTGGCACAACAAAAGGAAATGTTGGTCGAGTGAATTTTGCTGTCTGTGGGTGTTCAGGTGTGTGGCAAAAGGTGTTACCTGTTTTGAGCTATTGAGGTAGCTGGCATGGTCTCAAGGATGATAGACGGAAGCCAGTTATGGAAACTCCCTGTGTGAGTAATTAGGGATTGGGGACATTCCATTCATGCCAATGGCTTTACCAGCTGGACTCAAAGAAGTGTTGGGGGTGGGGGGGTGGGCACAGCCCCCTACTTGGCAACGATGGTACTGGAGGCTTCCATTGAAGTTGAAAGAATTCAACTCCAATATAAATGGAATTCACAGAATTGTTTATACTTGCTTATTTTTGCATATTCTTTAGTGAACATTCTGTCATGTTCCAACTCCTAACTGGATAGAACTCAGTCATTTTTCTATTTGGTACTGTTTCAGCTTTTTATATTCAGCAAGTACCACCATTTTCATATTAGGTGGATAGAAATCTGGTTTTAACTTCTTCAACATGATGTGTGTGTGTGTGTGTATGGAGTACTGGGGGCCTGAACTCAGGGCCTCTTACTTGGCTTACTAGCTGTCACATGGCACTGTGCCACTTGAGCCAGGCCTCCAACCCAGCATTTGACAGGTTAGTTGGGATGGAGCCTTACAGACTTTTCTCCCCTGGCTGGTTTTGAACCACCATCCTCAAGGTCTTAGCCTCCTGAGAAGCAAGGGTTACAGGCATGAGCCATTGGTGCCCAGCTCAAAGTAACTTTTTAAAGCAATGACTTCAGTTTCCATTGAGGTAATCGTGTAAGCTATCTAACCAGCCCTCATTAGGTAGATTATTTTTCCAAGCATGGTTTCACAGTCACCTATCTCAAAACTACCCAGAGTGCTTGTGGAGCATGCTGAAGTGTGAAAAACACACAGTCTTTCCAGAAAAATCTAGGGCCCTGGGTACCTGATCCCTGAGTATCTTTGGGCAGCTAAATAGGCCTTTAATGTCAGTGCAAAGGAGTTGAAAATAGGAGGGGACTGCAGAGATGTCAGAGGGAGATAAAAGGATGGAAGGCAGGAAACTGTGCAAGTTCATGCAGGTCCTCAGAAGATGCACAGCTGCATGGCTGTCCTGTTCACTCCTCCCTTTCCATTCCTTGTCCGTAGATGCAGCACCTCCAGGGAGCTTGGCCTCTGTGAGGGAAAGTAAAGTCAAGACCAGGAGAAAGGGTTTCTAAAGTCCAGTCCCATTTTTCAGGCCATGGAATTGCATTGCCTGCTTGAGGTCATGCAGTTTGTTACTAGCAGAGCTGGGAGACAGAACCGGCTTTAGCATCTGAGTCACGAGGCTTTGCTACCTCTGTTCCAGCTGCTACTTAAAGTGAGCCATCAGTGTCCACTGAAAAGTATTTATCTATCCTCAGCTCCTGTAGATTTGCTCCTGAATTCTGACTGAAGACCCAGGGAGGCCCAGGCATCTGCATATCAAGTATTCAGAAAGCACATGGCCAATGTTATGCTGGTAGCTTTTTCCTAACTAGTGGAGGATCACTTACCTGGCTTAAAAATTAACCCTGTAGAACCTACCACCCTGGTGGCCAACCCAAAGGGGCCTGAGCCGCCTGAGGCTTTGATATGAGTAGTGGCCCTAAATCACAGAAGCAGCCCACAGCCACTCATCCCTGTGGCCAGGGCAGCTCTCAGTGGTACTCACAGAGGAGGGGGTGGGGGAGGTACCAATGGATGGTCTTTGAACAGTCTTGACATGTGTTATAGCTTCCTGTCTTTGATGGGGGGCTCTCATGGCTACTCTTCTATCTCCGTGTGTTGCCACTTTACATTGTTCTCTCCACAGCAGCACTCAGTGTCTGTCATGGCCAGCTATGCCCTTCTGTTCCAAGATGGCCCTACCTCTTTGCTCTTCATCCTGTTTTTCAACTGTAATATCTTGTGTCCTGGACATTCTTTCCAGTCCCGATTGGCCATCCTTTACTTCCTTTATTTTTTGAACAGCTTAACTCCTGCTGTACTAATTGCACAGAGGTGTTTTCTCATCCATTCCTTCCGCTTCCCTGATTCCTTTCCTTCTTTTCTCTCAACATGGCCATGTCTTCTTTCCAAAATGTTAAAACTAACAAAGCAGTCCACTCTCATCTCACAAATTCCAGTTGGTTTGTTTTCATATCTTAGCTCTATTTTCCTCTACGTCAAATAAGGGACGAGCGGAAGGATCTGAATTTTAACCATGAAATGGCTTCGACCTTGCAGTGTGCCCTGGGAAATCTCACCACTACCTATAGGGATTCCTTTGCTGTCCTGATAGGTGTTGGGGGCACAGACTCTGAATCTAATCTACCAGGGCACAACCTAGCTGTACATCTTGGCAAGTGACTGAAACTGAGCCTTGGTATTTTTACCTGTCAAATGGAACTACAAAGAATAATTCCCTTTTAAGTGAAGATATAATATTTTTAGAATAGTGCTAGGCACAAAATAATAACTCACCCCCCCCAATAGGGCTGTTTCTAGACTTAGCACTTCTGCAGTTACGTTCTATGGATTGCTCACCTACAAAATACTCAGCAATGAGAAAGGGAGGGACAGGGCTCTTCATCCTTCTGGCAGCAAGCAAGGAAAGTGTTAAAAAATATTTGCTCAGTTCCTGTTTCCCTCAAACTTACATGATCCCAGAATCCACTTTTCAGAGACCCTCTCAATAGCCTATGAGAAAGGCTGGATATTGGTGGCTCATGCCTGTAATCCTAGTTACTCAGGAGGCTGAGATCTGAGGAATGTGGTTTGAAGTGGACAGACTCTTATCTTCAATAAACTAGCAAAGCAAGAAGTAGAGGTATGGCTCAAATGGCAGAACTCCAGCCTTGATCAGAGAAAGCCAAGGGAATGTTTGATTCCTTGAGTTCAAGCCCCAGGACTGGCACTAAAAAAGAAAAGAAAAAGTGAAAAAGCATTTGACTGTATCAGCTTCAGATTATTTTTGTCCACCTTCCCTAGGAAATACTAAGGCCTGAGAAGGACCCTAACTGGTATGATGTGTCAAATTCTAGACTCAGATTTTTCTTTTTCTTTTTTTGGTGCTGGTCCTGGGGCTTGAACTCATGGCGTAGGTACTGGGCTTTTTGGGAACTTAATTGGAGATAAGAGTCTTACAGACTTTTCTGGCTCTGCTGCTTCAAATCTCAGCCTCCTGAGTAGCTAAGACTACAGGCATGGGCCATCAGCACCGCATTCAGCTATTATTTACTATTGCCTCTGGCCGTACACTTTGAGAGGGGAAGATAGGAAGAAGGTTGGACATGTTGGTCTGTGGCTTAGGGCTGTCATTTGCAAACAGAAGCTTGCACATCGGTTTCTGGGAAGATACAGAATACTCACATGATACCTTAAGCAAAGTGGTAGCTAACCTAATCTGCCTGTCCCTTTACTCCAGCTCACAGATGCTTGTCTCAGCCTGAAAACCCACAACCATTCCAGGAACCCATCCTCTGTCTCTCCCGGGCCTCTCCACTAGACCTTAGTCAAAGGCCACAAAAGGATGGGCTTATCTCCACTTGAATGTGAACTGTCAGTAATTGTAAACCTTCTTCGGGTAAAGCCTTGGGCAAATCCCTTTCTCTCTTGGAACACACTTTCCTCCATCTGGTTTTAGGAGAGGGAGAGATAGTGGGTTGGACCAGATCAGTGAACCAAACTGAGCAGTGAAGCTTGGACCTCCCTTTTTTTTAATGCAAACTTTATTTTTTTTGCCAGTCCTGGGGCTTGAACTCTGGGCGCAGTCCCTGAGCTTCTTTTGCTCAAGGCTAGCACTCTACCACTTGAGCCACAGCACCACTTCTGGATTTTTCTGCGTATGTGGTACTGAGGCATCAAACCCAGAGCTTCATGTATGCAAGGCAAGCACTCTACCACGGAGCCACACTCCTCACCTGATCTCCCTTTCTTAATCCTAGCTACTCAGGAGGCTGAGATCTGAGGATTGCAGTTCAAAGCCAGTCTGGGCAGGAAATTTCATGAGATTCTTACCTCCAATTAACTACTAGAAAACCAGAAGTGGAGCTGTAGCTCAAAGTGGTAGAGCACCAGCCTCGAGCAGAAAATCTCAGGAACAGTGCCCAGCCCTGAGTTCAAGCTCCAAGAATGAAAAAAAAAAAGACTGAAAGCCAGAGGACCAAAAATTCTCTGTGACATTCAAAGACTCTAGTATTTGGCCATTGTCAAAGGCTGCCACTAACTGGTCCTATTTATTGCAGCCAGGATCTTATTGGCTAGATGAAACTGACAGGTATCTGCAGAGCAACTTGCCTACCCCAGGAGGGTGACCCCTCAGGGCAAATACCATTCAGCTGGCTGGGCATGCAGAATCACCATTGACTCCTTCCCATCTCCCCCCACCTTTCCCTGGAGCACTGGGGTTTTAACTCCTGGCCTTGCACTTGCTAGACAGGTGCCCTTGCTTGCATTAGTTATTTTTAGGACAGCTGTCATTTCTTGCCTGGTCCACACTTGGACATGATCCTCCTGCTGTAGCTGGGCTGACAGGTGTGTATCACCACACCCAGCTGCTTCCGTGGAAAGGGAGTCTCTCAAACTTTTCTGCCAGAGCTAGCCTGGTACTGTGATTTTCTTGGTCTCTGCTTTCTGCTAGCTGAAATGATAAGACACTACCAAACCCAGCTTATTGGTTGATAAGTGGACTCAAGACCTTTCTGCCCTGGCTGGCCTCAAACCATGATCCTTCCAGCCTTCTCCTACCAAGTAGCTATGGCTATAGGCTTGGGCCACTGGCTCCTGGTGTCAGCTTCTCTCTTAAAATTTTCTCTTGGAGACTGAGACGCTATGTTCTGGAGTACATGGGAGTTACCTTAGCTCCCTAGAGTCAGGAACATGACTGAACTTTCTGGGCCTATTCCTCCGTTTTTCTTCCTGTAAATGGGCATAGTTGTCCCTGTTACATAGAAGGCTATTATGACATCAAGCTAAGTTCATGGTCAAATGCCTTGGTGCCACCCTGAACCCCAGGTGGGCAGGCAGTGTCCTGACAGACACTGCATGGCCACGAGCACATCTGGGGCAGAACCATTAACCCTTCTCCTTAATGCTGGGCATAGAACTGCACCCAGCAAATAGTTTAATCAGTGTAGGGACATTGGAGCCAGCTGCCTCTGGGCCCCCTCTGTGACAATCACTGTCCATCCTGTCCCATCTGCCAGATTCACCAGGACTTCCTGCTTGCTTGGGGAAGCCCAGAGGAAGGTAAGAGGAGCCAGGTACTCCAGGGTCTAGTGCTTCCCTTGGTCTGGAAGGCACCAAGGGGCCATTCTGGAGAGGCCCGAGGGCACTGTCATCTGGTGTCTGGGAAAGCCCCTGCTCCATATTGGTCTCCACTGGCCCTGATAACCTCTAATGGCCCTTGCAATGTGTGTGGTGCTGCAGTCTCATGTTCTGGGCCTCCAAAGGAGGCTGCTGAGGAGTTTGGAAGCAGGACTTCCATGGCCCCAAGCTCCCTGTGATGTATTCTCCCTTTCTCTTTCAGATGCACTTCATCTTCTCAGACAAGGCCGTGCTTCTGTTTGATTTCTGGAGTGTCCACAGTCCTGCAGGTAAGAATCAGGAAGCTCAGACTTGTAACTTAGGAAGCCTTAAAGTGCCAGGCAGTGGAGACCTGGGTTCTCTTATTTTCTGAAGGCATTTAGTGAGCCTGCTTTTCCAGGTAAACACTGTGCTGGAACTTTGCATTTATAAATCCATTTGCAGCCAGGGTCCTTCCCATCACAAAGGGTCCCAATCCTCAAGGATCCTCAGAAGGTGGAGGGAAGGGGAGGGAGAGAGGAAGGGAGGGAAAGGAGGAAGAAGGGGGAGAAGGAGAGAAGGAGAGAGAGAGAGAGAGAGAGAGAGAGAGAGAGAGAGAGAGAGAGAGAGCATGCAAGCTGGGGCTATGTATTCCAAGGGAAGTAACTGAAGTCCAAACACTGAGACTGGGGGGGGTCACAAAAAAACAAGGAAGCATTGACCAGAACTTGATGAAGGCCTCCTGTTGCTTCCTGGCCTGCCTTTCATACTGGCAGCTGCTGCTACAGCCTTAGACTTGGGAGGAGATACCATTCTGCAAGGGAAGAATATTCCTTGATTTCTAACTCATGACTATTGTTTTTGAACCTAAATTAGGTAACTTAAAAATAGACTAACAGCCCCAAAGCCCCCCAGTGGCAGATGTGATCATCCCTACAATGTATTAGTGGTCCCGTTAATTCTTCCTCAGTAAGCAATGGATTAGAATAGTCAGGTAATTATTCTCTCTCAAAGGTTTAGTGAATGGCCTACATTCCTACATTCAGCCAAGTGGCCTTTACTCAAGTCTATTTATGCACAGAATCAGACAGTGGCTGGAACCACAGCCATCTGCAAGACTCCCTCCTAGGGCTAGTGGTTGTTCTTGGGCCCCATCTGGGCTCTTGGCTGAATGCCTACATGAAGTGTTCTTGGCCTGAGCTTCCTTGTGGGTGGCAAGTTCAAAGAGCAAGTGCCTGACCACAAAAGAGACAGATATATGAGGTTTTTACAATCTAGTTTTGGAAGTTGCATTACATTTAATTGGCAAAGATTTATGAGGTTCCATAGGACATTTCAAGACACATATACATTGTAAACTGCTCAGGACAAGGTAAACATTTCTACTTAAACATTTATCATTTACTTTGTGGTTAACACATTTAAAATTCTTGCCTCTAGCTTTTGTGTGTGTGTGTGCGCGTGGTGGTCTTGGGGCTTTAACTCAGGGACTGGGTGCTGTCCCTGAGCTTTTTTGTTCAAGGCTAGGGCTTTACCACTTTTGAGCCACAGCTCCAACTCTGGTTTTCTAATGGTTAATTGGAGATCAGTGTCTCATGGATTTTCCTACCCAAGCAGGCTTTGAAGCACAATCCTGATTTCAGCCTCATGAGTAGCGGGATTACAGGTGTGAGCCACTGGCACCTGGTGCCTCTAGCTTTTTTTTTTTTTTCTTTCCAAGTATGTAGTGTACCTGGTAATTCTCTGTAATTCCCATAGGGTCATGTGGGACACCAGAAGCTATTCTGTACTCGGCTTCTTTTGGCAGGCATGGCCCTCTCAGTATTGGTGGTTCTGCTCCTGGCTGTACTATATGAAGGCATCAAGGTTGGCAAAGCCAAACTGCTTCACCGGACTCTGGAGAGCCTGCCTGTCTCCAGCAGCCAGCAAGTCATCCTGGATACAGATCGGGATTCTGCAAGTTTGGACTCACCCCCGGTTAACAGAAGGCCCTTCAGGTACAAGCACTGGGTAGGAGAAGGAACACTCACATCACTCTGGGATGTAGGCTGAGCCCAGAAGGTGTCGGCCCAATACACCGAAAGGAGATTGAGGCCCACTGAAGGACCAGGACTAGCCAAGCAAGGTGGTTAGTTAGTAGTAAGGTTAACTATACCACGTGGAGTTCCTGGTACTTTGGCCATAGCCTCATTGCAGGGCACAGAATTTCTTCAGAGAGCTGCAATATTTAGAACTTTGCCACTGTGCACCCCACAATTTCACCAGGCTTCCAAACCTAGGAAGGAGCCGGGTCCTAGTGCTATCCTAGTTACTGTTATCCTAGCTACTCAGGAAGCTGAAATCTGATGATCATGATTTGAAGTAAGCTCAGGCAGATAAATCTAGAGAAAAAAAGTTGGAAGTGGAGATGTGGTTCAAATGGTAGAGTGCTAGACTTGAAAGAGCTAAACGAGAACACAAGATCACCACACCACACACACACACACACACTCATGCAAATTGCAACCACACACACACACACACACACACAAACACACACTCATGCAAATTGCAACCAAACCCAGGAGGGGAAGCAGGTATATCCTGAAGCAAGAATGGCTGTCATCAGTGTACCTGAGTTGGTGGAAGAAAGCATCCTTTTATCTCCTCTCATCCCCCATTCTGATCTGGTGACCATTTAAGGTCCCTAGACGCCTTCTCCAGCCCCATCTGAGCTTACTGAGTCTACCTGCTCCATCACCAGCACTTACCTGGGAACTTCACACCTTCACAAGCACTGAGCAAGAGAAAGCTCCTGTTCCCCATTCTTATTTTACCAATGGGGAAATTAACATCCAGATAGGTCAAGAAATTTTTACTAGGCCAGATTTGGTAAGTGGCTGAACTAGGAACTAATATGTCATTGAAGTCTCTCATTTTCTATTGCCATTCTGCCTCCCACAGTAAATTCGGGAGAAGAAAAAAAAATGTCTTACTAATAATTTACATAAACTGTATATACCATCATTTTCTCTTTGCCTAGGAGGCTAGGAAGCTCAGGGCTAAATAGTGGGCAAGCTTCTTTGTAATCTCAGCCCGGCACAGTGGCTCATGCCTGAAATCCTTGCTATTCAGGAGGCTGAGCTTGGGAGGATCGCAGTTCAAAGCTAGCCAGGCAAAATGTTAGTGCAACTCCATGTCAACCAAGAAAAACCTGGATATAGCGGTAGCTGCAGCTCACTCTTGGTTCATTAGCAGCATTAACTTGTTTCTCTTTTATATCTAGGTGGTTTCTGTGCTACTTTGGCCAGTCTTTGGTTCATGTTGCTCAGGTGGTCATTGGCTACTTTGTGATGCTGACTGTTATGTCCTACAACACTTGGATTTTCCTGGGTGTGGTCCTGGGCTCAGCTGTGGGTTACTACCTTACCTACCCACTTCTCAACACGATGTAGCTGGCAAGGGATGCACAGGTGCTGGTGGCTGGAAGGGCCACTCTGCCAGACCGTACTTCCAGTCACAGCCACTTCTGATGGCAACTACTCACCGTCTTTTCCAGTTCCTGACAACTTTGAGCTGAAGCCAGCAGGTCCTCTCTGGAGCTCTGAGGCCACTGCATCCACCTCCCATCTCCACCAGCCTACTCAGGGCCAGGCCTTGTCTGCTGCCTCAGGAAGGCAGCTGTGACCAATGGGAGAATGGAGAGAATCGAGGCTTGTAGGGGAGAGCAGCTGAGCCTAGCAAGCTGCATGTCTGAGACAGAACGTGAGCACTTCCAAAGACCTCCAGGACAAAGAGGGTTCTGGGTGATGAAGGCCATGGAACCCACATGGCCTCTCTTCTACTTTGTGCCTTTTCTACAGAAGCATTTTCCATTGGACAAACTGACCTCTTTTGTGCTTAGAAGGACAAAATCCTGGCTCTTTTGTCTCACCTTTAAGCCCTGGGAACACATGAAGATTGACTCTTCCATGAATCATGTTGACAAACTAAGATTTCTCGTTTTTTTCCACTGGCAATTTTGCACATTCAGTCAAAATAAAAATTTTAATGATTTCATTCTGTCCACGACAGATGGCAGTGTCTGCCGAGGTCCATCTCCCATTCTTAGGGAAAGATTGGCAGCTGAGAGGCAAAGACCGCAGTCTGTTCCCAAGGCTGCTGGCTTGTCCTTTGGGCACAGTGAGCCCCCACCAGATGCCATTGCCTGCAGTGGGAGCTCAGCCTGATGGCCAGGGTACTGAGGGGCTCTTTATGGCCTTAATCCTTTTATCCTCAATAGAGAACTACTTTTAATACTATTCAGTTATTAATGTTCTTTATTTATTACTGCTTGCTCATAATGATCCAGTGAAGAAACATGATTCAGTCCTTGAAGATAATAATTAAGCCACATTGGGTGGGTGGATGGGTAGACTGTTGATTGAGGATGCAGTAAACAGACAAACCAAAGTGAGTATATTTTTCGAGTTGGATGGACTCTAGGTATTTGGACTTCTCATTTTATAGAAAGGAGACCCAGGGCAAGGAAATCACTGCTATATAATACTGTAATGTCTATGCTTAGGCACCTCATGGGCTTGGTGGAAAGATGCTTTTAAGCTTTGGGAATGAAAAACAAATACATTTTAATAAATATATATTTTTAAACAATCTGTTTGTCTTCATTCTAACATCAAGCATGCAAAGGCCTTGTACCAACTAATCTTAGGAACTGAGGGAGGGTATTGCAGGGGAGGTGTGTGTAAAACTGAAGACAACTGTGTGGCTTTATAGGCTGTGCTACAGGTAGACACCACACAATGCCTACTTGGTCAGCAACCTTTTGCTTCTGTAGCAAGCAGTAATGGGGTGCCCACTGAAAGTAACAGTCCCACAGATTCGGCATGATTGCTAGTACCTTCTCTCCCTGGAGGCAGAAGCAGAAATCTAATGGCCCAGTAAGAAATGTATCCTAAATGCAATCATGTTATTCAGTAATGACTAGATGGGAAATGACCTATGTAGGCAGGGATGTGTTATAAATATGCTCTCCAAGAACCACTGGAGTCACAATGACAGACACAAAAACCTTGTATTTCAAAAACTTCCTCATCCCAAAGCAGTTGCTCTTCCAAGACAAGAGCCAAGCCACCAGGTGAAAGCAAGAACTTCAAGCAATACATTTTGATAGCAAAGACAGTCTTTCTCTCAGATGGGAAAGTAAAGGGGTAACATTGTTCAAAAAAATGTATTCTGCTTTATGAAATGGTAACCCCTCTGTACAACATCTTAATAAAATTATATTTAAAAAAGAAAATCTAACCCTGTAGGGAGAAAAGACATCTGGCCCCAAACAGATGTCCAGAAGAGAATAAAAATTCAATGGATAAAAATTCCTTTCTTAGGAAGCTTAAAAAAAATCCTAGAATTATGTCACACCTCTAGAATTGCTTCATACACTCCCATGCACCAAGGGAACTGAGAACCAACTGTGTTACCATCACAGGTGTAAGATTCCCAGTGTCCAGTGTAGTTGTATTAAAGGAGCCTTACCCATCTAACAAAAAGCCCTGACCAGCAATGGTTCCCTGCCCTGGGATACTGCTGGGATGAGCATTTTCCTGGGAGATCAGCGAACTCCTCAGCTTCAGTCCCTAAATGTACTTAGATATTTGAGGCTTTTACAGCAGGAAGAGTTTGAAAAGTTAGGTTTTGTGTTTAATAGTGATTATATGCTTAGACTCAGTAGATGATCCACAGCTCTCATGTCAACATTCTTCAGAGCCAAGTCACAAAAGATAATTTTGATTCAGCAACACCTGTGTGTTTATGATGAGCCAGGCACCAATCTAAGCACTCTATACAAACATTAACGTATACAAACATTAAGCTGACTTCATCTGAGAGATAAGGATGCTGAGGTGCAGAGAAACAACTCACCTAGCTCATCCTGGCTGTTTTTCCTCACCAGCTCACATGGGCTGAAGTGTGAGAGAAAAGGTCACTTGGCTGAAGCCATACAGTACCCCTGAACAAAGAACTGCATTGTGACTGAAGACAAGGCTGTGCTCTACATTTTACCATAAAGGATGGAAATTCTATCTCAGCAGATCTGGATTGGAGCTCAGAAGCTTTTTCTTCTCTTTTTCTTTCCTTCCTTTCTGTTTCCTCTCTATTTTTCTTTTCTGTGTGTGTGTGTGTGTGTGTGTGTGTCTCCTAATTTCTTTTTTATACTGGCAATTCAATCTAGGGCCTTGAACTTGCTAGTACTCTACCACTAGAGCTATGCTCCCCACAGCCTCAAAGAACATTTTTGTTAAACATTTTCTGCTTGTTAAAGACTGGTTGCTTGGGTCTCTTGAAGATTCTCAAATAAACAAACCCAGACAAGATTTTGTCACTGCTGTTCTCTGCATTGATCCTGGCCTGAGTTCAGAAGTGGAAGATGCCCTCAGAGTAATGACCCTTGGGTGTCACGAACAGTGGAGGTGAGGAAACCTTCTCTGCACAGCATCCCAGGCTGCAGGACAGCCTGTAGGGTTAGTAGAGGACAGGGCTGGGCCTCAGGAAATCAGCCTTAAGCAGATGTGATGACGGGGGCAACAGAGTGACAGCCTGAAAGTGTTAAAGTACTGAATATGTCCAGGTGTCTTTGTGCACATTTACCAACCCAGGTGTAGCTCCTGCCCTTTAGATTCCCAAAGAGCAGCACAGCCATACCTGAAATCAAACTCAGCTTCCTCCCAAGGGCCCAAGTCCAGTTTCACTACAGATGTTTATTTTAGCTTTGTTAATTCTTATACCTGTTGACCTCTTGGATAAGATTTAAGGCAGAGAAAAAAAGACACATGTTCTAGGACCACAGGCCAGACTACTAATTGAACCGGACTGAGATGGTGTAGTTGCTGTTCTCCAGGGAGCCCTTCCTCCAGGGGACAGGTCTTGTGTGCTAGGCTACAGCTGAGGCCTGGGAGACAGATGGAGGGGAGGCTCACAGGTCCATCTAAGAGTGAAGGGAAAGAAGGAAAAGCTTGGAAGAAAGGGAAGGATTCTTATAGGTGACCGGATAGAGGGAATCTACCAGCCCTTTCTCCAACTGGGACTCAGGCAGGACCACATGGGCTTCTGACAACACCAGTCCAAAAGGCAGGGTCCTCTTCCAGGTCACGGGGTCTTAGATATCTGTCCTTAGAGCGCTCATCTGGCCCTCACCCCGTGGCTTGCCTAGACCCAGGGCTGGCTGTGCAAAATCATGCTTAGAGGAGGGTTGGTAGAGAAACCTGTGCACCAGTTTCCTGTCTTCATCCCAGCCAGTCAATGTCATCGTCATCATCATCATCTCCAAAAAGGGGTGTTGGGGGCGGGCGTCCCTTCATGCTCTGACAAAACAGGAAAGAGTGGTCAGTCCTCATCTGTCCCTACCCCAGGTAGCCTTCCTGCCTGTGAGAGGAACTGGTCCAACGTCTCTTCTGGGCTCTCGGTTGGAAAGGAAGTACATTGGATGGACCACCCCAGTAGCCAGAGAGCCTGGGCTTCCAGATGAAGCTAAGACAACAGAGACAGAAGACCAACTTTGTTTGGCTAATTTTGTCATTTATTTGTGCACAGGTATTGATTTAACAGATTTTCCTCTTATGCAATTTGCACAATTTATGTAGAGAAAAGAGGATCAGAAGAGACAGGAGCAGGAGACAGAAACAGAGAAGCCAGTAGCCTGAGAGATGAGAGAGGGTGCAGGCAGATGATGGACCAATCACATTCAAAAACACAATTGTCATGGCCTAAGGTAGCCTGACTGGCTCTGGATGTGACCTCATCATTTGAGAAAAAGACACGTCTACCCTCCCAGGAGGAAAAATCCTACGCGATAAAGACTAGGAACACAGGGTCCAGCTCCTTCTTCCTGTTCTTTTGGGCTTCTTGGCCATGAGGTGAATAATTTTATGTTACCCACATGTGCCTGCCACAATGATAGGTCCAAAGCAAGGGGCCTGATTGAAACTCTAAAACTGGGGAAGGTGCTGTAGCTCAAATGGGAGAGTACTAGTCTTGAGCAAAAGAGCTCAGGGACAGCACCCAGGGTCTGAGTTCAAGCCCCATGACCAACTAAATAAATAAACTTAAATTAAAAAAAATAAACTCTGAAACTGGGAGCCAAAATAAATTCCCCTTCTCTCTTTAATGACTCAAGCTTCTGGCCTTTTTCCTCTGGACTAGCAGGAAACTAGTCCCACAGAGGCCATGGAGCCAATGCTAGAGACAGGCACAGACTGAAATGCCTCCTCTAAGGTACTTCATGCTCTGTGAGCTACTGGCTTCACCAAGATCAATGCTCACAGGAGCCAGGCCAAGGTAAGGGAGCATGGCATACATCCACTAACAGATCTTGTACTAAGACTCAGTTACTAAATGATGTTTAAACTGATAAAAGTGGGCTTTCAAGTGTAGCTGACAATCTGTTCTGTTCTGGAGATGGTTCTGGCTCTGTTTATCAGCCACATACCCTAAGATACGCCTTGCTGAGCCTCAGTCATACGATCTGTACAGGATTAAGAGTACCTACCTCAATGGATTAGTAGATGATTAAATGAGAATATGAAGTGATTTCAGAGTACCCGAGAAACAGATGTTCATTTGGTGGTACTGGCAGTCATGCTACTTATATATGGCTAATTAAATTTTTTACCTATAGGCTGTGTACTGGTGGCTCATATCTGGAATCCTAGCTACTCAGGAGGCTAAGATCTGAGGATCTTCTGTGTGAAGTCAGCTTGGGCAGACAAATCCAAGAGACTCTTATATCCAATTAACCAGCAAGAGGCCAGAAGTGGAACTGTGGCTCAAGTGGTAAAGCATGAGCCTTGAGTGAAAGTGCTAAGCAAGAGGATGAGGTCCTGAGTTCAAGCCCCAGGACTGGCACAAAAAGGTAAAATAAGTAAAATTTTCAACTGTACTTAGGGATAGATTTTTTTCCATTTTAAAAATTTTTTTATAAAGTATAGAATTTACATTCAGTATTCTAAATGGAACTATCTTAGGAAGAAAGGCCAATAGGTGGAACTATCATACTTCCCTCAAAGGCAGGCAGGAAGGAGGGAAGGGCTTTGGTATGTAACAAACTGGATCCCAGATCTGTCATGGCTTTTGGCAAAAGACAAAACCCACTTGGGTAACATATGAGGAGACAGAAGTTGCCCCTATTTCTGTCCCTGGGATAGCCTGAGGCTGAAGCTCTTCTGCAGACACACAACTCTTGCCTGAATAATTCCCACCAAGTAATCACAATGGTCTGGTGACAGTCAGCAGGGTTGTAACCTAGTACAATGGGGACAGCAGATGCATGAACTGTCAGCACTTGCTTTGCTGCTTGTCACTCACTAGCGAGGCTGTGCTGTCAGCGCTGAAGCTCTGCCCGGAGGCTTTGTGATGACCAAAGAGGGCAGCAGGTTAGAAAGCAGGAGGAGCCAACAAAAAGTGCAGCTGGAGCCTTGCTCTACCATCACCTGGCTCTGTGGCTCAGGCAAATTACCCTCTGAGCCTCAGTTTCTCTGTTAAGGAAGAAGGACGCCTCTCAGGTTATCTTCCAGTCCTTCCCACCTTTCCTCCATGGATGGAGAGGATGACTGCCTCTCAGGAGTGAAGCGGCAGCTGACCATCCCCACTCTGAGAACACAGTGGCCCCCTCACAGCCCCAAAACTACTCCCACACGGCCTGGTACACAGAGTCCAGGGAGCAGGCCACCAGCAGGCTCCTGTTCTCGTCTCCCAGCCAGCGGGGAAGAGACCCCAGGCAGTGGGGTGTGGCCGTGGCAGGCCCTGGGATTTCCTTACCACCTCATCTTCATCCTCATCCTCCGGCTGAGCTTTGGGCCTTGGAACTTTCAGAGTTGCCCCTGGAAACAGTTCGTCCTCTTTGTCCCCAGAGAGACTGAAGAAAAATCAAGTCATAGAACATGTGGCTGTTTCTGCTCCCCACCACAGTGTCCTCCAGCCATGAGGCTCACAGGACCTGGGTGAGGCTCCTTAGAAGGCCTCCCACCGCCATTCTATCCCTTCCACATCCTGCATAGCCTATAGCCAAAGTAGTCTTCTAAAGCTAATTAACTGAACTATGTTACTCTTCTGCTTAAATGCCCATAATAGCTTCTCAGGGTACTTACATGAAGTCCAATTTTAACAGTGATATAAAAATCTGTGTCTTAGTCTCTACCTAGTTTCCCAGTCTCAGCATCATTTGCAACTTACTTACTGTGTCTGCTTTCAGTTTCTTAACTAGGATCTATCCCCTCCCACTACAGGACCTTTGCACATGCTGTTCTCTCTTTCTGCAATCTCTTCTTCCTGCTCTTGGTATGGATGGCTTCTTACCATCCTGGGTCTCAGTTTAAATGTTACTTTCTCAGACTTTTTCCTTAACGACTCATTTAATATAGAATATTCCTTTATTCTCTACCATAGCATCCTGTTTGTTTTGTTTTCTTTTTTTTATGTAGGTCACTTTTTTTGTAATTTATAATTTCATTTCTGTGCTCAGGAACCACATCTTCCTTGCCTACCACATTACTGCCACATTGAACAAATGCATGGATGAAGGAGCGAGCCAGTATCAGTTACCAGCCCTGGAACAAACATAGCAGCTCTACGCCCAGCCATAGCCATCCTGTCGCTGCCCCTGTGCCAGAGGGACATACCTGGAGTGCGGAGAGCCATGACTGGGTCTGAGGGCAGCTCCTGCAGGACTGGCTTCTGTGCCTGATGGTGCCTTGTGGGGAGCAGCAGGGCGGGGGGCCCTGGCGTCGTCACTGAGCTCTGGAGGCTCAGGCTCTCCTCCTGGGCTTTCAGGCCCCAAGGCCGGTGGCTCCCCCTTCTCAGGATCTGGAGTCAGTGTCTGTCTCCTGGAGCTTCCCCGTGGCGGGCCGTCTGGAGCTACTTCCCCAACGTCCACCTTGTCCAGTGGGTTATCAGGGCTTGCTGCCACCAGGCCAGCAGCAGGTGACTCCTCGAACTCAGAGTCCACAGCTGCAGGACTGGAAGGCTCAGGGGGAATCAAAGCCAGGGGCCCCAGAGCTCTGGGGGGTGGGAGGGAGCCATCTTGGACCTCAGAGAGTGTCTCTGCCTCTGAGGGCTCCCCTTCCCTTGTCTGTGTGCTACCCCGTGGAGCAGGGAGCAGGTCAGCCTCCTCTGCTACCTGCTCCAGTGGCACCTCAGGGGCCTCCTCTCTCTCCCCGCCTGTGGGCACTGGACACGGCTCGGCAGTGGCTGGGCCTGTCTGCTCCTGTTCTTGCTCCTGGATAGGGGGGTGGAGCCGCTCTTCTTCTTCCTCACTGCTGCTCACTCCCTGCTCTCGCTCCTGCTGGTTCAGTAGCTGCAGAGTCACCATCTGATCAAAACCAAGAAGAGGGACATGAGCACTGAAAGGAAGCTGGGAGGCTCTGCTAGCAGCCCAGCCTCAGCTGGCTGTACCAAGTCCACACCACTGTGCTTCTCCCTAAGAAGCACCTGTCCCCATCAGTGCAGAACACGTCATGTCAGGCATCCCAATCACGAAGAATGATTCTGAAACTGTTCTGTTATATTCATTCATTCATTTTTGTGTGTGTTTGTTTTGGGACAAGTTCTCACTGTATAGCAGGTTGACCTGAACTTGTGATCTTCCTTCCTTCCTCAGCAGTGCTGGGATTACAGGCATGTGCCACCATGATTAGCTTTGAGTCTCTTCTTACTCACAATCCCTTAGAAGGCACTTAGGCAATGAAATACTCAGTCCAATGAAACAACTGACAACTGGCTGGCTGTACCTTGATGGTACTCATGATCGTCCCGAGAATGGTCCTGCCATCATAAGATTCCTCCAGCTCAAATTCTCCCCGCAATGAATGGAACACCTGGTTCATGATCTTCTTGACCTGTGTGAAGATCAAAATGCACGTTACCAAAATGAAGTCATTAGCAGATACACAGAAATCCCAGAGAGGGGCTATAATGAAGGCAACTTGGTACCAGACAGAGGGGCATAGCTAGTCATGTCTGCAGATACTGAGTGTACTGTGCAGTGGACAACATTGAGTGACAAGCACACTGTGACAGAAGTTAGCCCTGACAGCCCCCTATTAAGAGCAGGCAAGCTCTGCCAATATGCCAAGACTGTTCTAAGACCATACATTGGTGCCTCCCTCCCTCCATGAGCACCGCCAAGAGTCCCCTAGCCACAGAGATGAGTGGCTCTGGGCTTCTTCTCCATTAAAGCCTCTGAAGCATCAGACTCCTCAATTAGCCACTATGATGGTAGGTTCTAAAGGATCAATTTTTAAGCTGGACAACTGGTGCATCAGAATTTAGGAAGAAAAACTACCAGCATAACATGTTGGCCACATGCTTTCTAAATGCTTGATAGACACATTCAATACCTCAGTGGTTTGCCATTTCTTTCAAATACCAGCTCACCTTCTCTGAGGGGTCAGCAGCAGTTTTGACGCCAGACACCTGGGATTTGGTCTTCTCCAGTTCCTTGATATGTCGGTCATTTTGCTCTGTGAGGGTTGTGACTTGGGTCTGGAGAGCTGAGCACTGCAAAATGAACAGACTGTAGCTGTGGCATCAGGAACCTGGACTAGTACACAGAGGTCTGGAAACCCAGGTGGAGAAGATCTATCCCAAGCATCAAGTCCTAACCTCTGAAGGGCTGCTGGGCCCCACCTGTCGGCGTCTACCTGCTAATGTCGAGTATTCACTTCCTCAGAACTTAAGGTTGCTTAAATCTTTAATCAGGTCAAGAATATAATACAAAAGCCACGTACCGTACCAGTAGCTCACACCTGTAATTCTGGCTACTCAGGAGGCTGAGATCTAAGGATCACAGTTTGAAGCCATTCTAGGCAGGAAAAGTCTGTGAGACTCTTATTTCAATTAAGTAGCAAAAAAAAGTTGGAAGTAGTGTTGTGGCTTAAGTGGTAGAGCACCAGTCTTGAGAAAAAAAAGCAGTACTGCACACACACAAAAAGGAATGTAATAAAGCCAAGCATGGTGGTATATGTCTATAGTTCTAGCTACTTGGAAGGCACAGGTAGAAGAATGAGGTTGCAGACCACCCTGGACAAAAGCACAAGGCTCCATCTAAAGGCAAAACAAAACAACAACAACAAAAACTAAAGCAAAAGGGGCCAGAATTATGGTTCATGCAGTAGAGTGCTTTCCTAGCATGTGCAAGCCCTGAGTTCAACCTCTCATGCTGAAAATAAATGATGCAATATAATGAAAATATGGGGGTTGGGTAAGAACACTAGTCACATGCACATGCACATAAACTGCCTCATGATCTCTGTGTACTGAAAGGACAGGAACTGGCCTCTACATAGGGCACTTTGGTAGCACCATCTCCCACCTTTTGCCTTTTCACAACTAACAATCCCACCATACCCCCAGCTATACCCCAATCTCAGTGCCTTGACCCAGATGTCCTTCCTCCTACCTTAACACAGCTACCTGGTCTTGGCTCAGTTTGAAGGTCACCTCCTTTGGAACGCTGTCTCAGCTCTCCAAGGCACTTCCTGTTCTAAGCCCTACAGTGCTTAATTGTGTATCTTTGTTTTTCTTTCTGGACTGTGAGGCTCCTGCAAGGCTGAGTTCTTTGTAGGTACCCTTCTCTTACACAGTGGCTCCACCACAACTGACACACAGTAAATATTTTCTTACTGAAGGAGGGATCAAATAATATTAGGAAACATGTTCCAGAACACTGATCCTGCTTTTTCTTTTTCCAGGTCACTGACCCAACACTATGTAAGTTGGGAAAGATCACTGATGGACTAAAGTGACACAAGCATGTGTTTCCTAGCTATGAGGCTCAAAAGGATCCAAAGGACTCAAGCACCTGCTGGCTGGGCCGCTTGAGAGGCGTGACCCGTGACAGAGCTACCTTTTCCTGAAGCCGGGTGAGCTCCTGCAGGTATGCATCCCTTTGTGTGCACGCCTCCTGGTATTGCTGCAGATGCTCATCCTTGGCAGAGGCCAACAGATGCTCACATTTTGCTTCCCAATGGTTTTGTAGTTCAGCCTGGGCCACAGACAACTGCCAAGACAAAGTAATGACCACATCCTGTAAGTCCTGTTGTACCTTTGAAGGCCCATCCTCTAGAATGCAGAAGAAGCTAACAGCCCAGGTTCTCCATATGTGGGCAAGCAGCTGTTTGAAAGACTTCAATCACTGTGAAAGAAAATGTGTTTTTGAAATGGAGGGAGGAAGATGTCATGACTCTAAAAGGTTTTACTAGACAAAGGTTCCTGGAGGTCAAGACCACAATGTGATCATCATTTTTCAGGGCTAAGACCCTAAACTTCAGAGGTGCAGAAATGTAAATTGCCACAGGTGACTAAATGGAGGGCACCAATGCACTCTAAAGGGAATATATGTACAGATTTTTAAAATTATTAGTTTATGTATTTATTTACTGATTTATGTGTTGCTACTGGGTCTTGAACTCAGGGCCTGGTTTTCATTCTTGATTAGCCTTTTCTTTTTGTTGGTTAATTAGAGGTAAGAGTCTCTTGAATTTATCTGCAGGGGCTGCTGTTGAATCGTGATCCTCAGATCTCAGCCTCTTGAGTAACTAGGTTTACAAGCATGCCCCTATAGCATCTAGTTCAGGTTTTAAATTTACAATGACAAAGGTTTTCATCAGCTGTGTCCTGCCACTATCCCTGACCTGCTTTTCTGATGACCTTTAAATAAATCTCTTCTTGTCAAGTATGTTGATGTGTCTGGAGGATGCCTTCAGCAGGCTGTTTGGCTGTATGTTTTTTTTTTTTTTTGTAAAGCCATTAGACATTAACTAAGGTCTTAAAAAGAAGAGTCTCCATTTGATTCCTGGTTTGCATCTTTCTACCTTTTTGGGAGATGAGAGCTTAAATGTAAGAAATAGGATAGGTAAGGCAGAAGCTATAAACTCCTTTCTAAGTCATCCACACCCCCTGTAATTCCAGAGTGCTCCAGTGCCACTTACCTGCACGGCAGCTGCCTGGTCTGTAGATACGCGAGCTTTTTTCAAGAGCTGATGGAGTTTGTTCAATTCCTCCTGGTGTGACTTACGAATTTCCTCCATTTCCTCCTCGGCCTGGCAGCGCTCTTGAGCGGATTTCTTCTTCCTTTCTGAGAGGTTCTTAGGCACAAGAGAAGAACCTTCAGCTCTCGCTGGCTAACAGGATGGGCAGGGACAGGGGTGCTCCAGTGGTTACTGACATCAATGTACCCTTACTCAGTTGGTTCTTACTTTAGCTTCATTCCCCACCCCACCCCCACTTTTTTTTGTGCCAGCATTGGGGTGTAAACTCAGGTCCTCCTGCTCTTGCTTGGCTTTTTCACTTAAGGCTGATGTTCTACCACTCCAGTCACACCTCCACTTCTGGCTTTTTGCTGGTTAATTGGTGATGAGTCTCTCTAAGGGCTAGGAATGTGGCCTAGAGGTAGAGTGCTTGCCTAGCTAGCATGCATGAAGCCCTGGGTTTGATTCCTCATTACTATATAAACAGAAAAAGCCTGAAGTGGTGCTGTGGCTCAAGTGGTAAAGCACTGGCCTTGAGCAAAAGAAGCTCAGGGATAGAGCCCCAGTTCAAGCCCCAGGACTGGAAAAAAAAAAGTCTCCCTGACTTTCCTGCTTGGGGCTAGCTTTGAACTTCACTTCTCAGACCTCAGCCTTCTGAGTAGTTAGGATTATAGGTGTGAGCCACCAGTGCCCAGAAAAATCTCATTTTTATGTAATACAATGACCATGTACCTTTTTTGAGGGGTCGGTTGTGGGGCCTGAACTCTGGGCCTGGGTGCTGTCCCAAAGCTCTTCAGCTCAAGGTGAGCACTCTACCACTTGAGCCACGGCACCACTTCTGACTTTTTCTGCTTATGTGGTGCTGAGGAATCGAACCCAGGGCCTCATACATTACAAGGCAAGCACTCTACCACTGAACCAACTTCCCAGCACAACAATGTACTTTTTGAAAGTATTAAACATAAGTTTATTTTGGTTTAAAAAATGTTACCAAAGACATTTATGTATAAGTTAATATGTATCCTTTTATGAGTATAGAAAACCATCTGGAAAGATCATGTACTGTTTATCTTGAATGAGAGGAGATAAAGACAATTTTTAAATATTACACTTTTCTGTATTAGCTGTTCTTTTTCTAGTGGATTGATACATATGCATATATATAAATATACATATTATATATATATATATATATATATATATATATATATATATATGGATTTGGATTTGAACTTAGGGTCATCAGCTTGCTAGGCAGGTGTCCTACCACTTGAGCCATGCCCCAGTCTTTCCTGCTTTAATTATTTTTCAAATAGAGTTTCATTTTTTTTTTTGGTCCGTTCATGGGGCCTGAACTCTGGGCCTGGGCGCTGTCCCTCAGCAATTCAGCTCAAGGACAGCGCTCTACCACTTGAGCCACAGCACCACTTCCGGCTTTTTTCTTTTTGCCTATGTGGTGCTGAGGAATCGAACCGAGGGCCTCTGGCATGCAAGGCATGTGCTCTACCACTGAGCCACCTTCCCAGCCCCTAGAGTTTCATTTTTATCTACTAGACAGCTTCCCACATAGTTGGAGCTGGGATGACAAGCACACCACCAGACCTAGCTTTTTATCAGTTGAGATGGGGTCTTGTGAACTTTTTGCCTGGGCTAGCAACTCTCCCAATTTCTGCGTAAAATTACAGGCATGAGTCAATAAAAGTTATACCTACAATTGTAATGTTTAAAGGACAAATGAAAAAAAAATTAAGCAACCAATCCAGGCCACGTGTGTGGCTTACAGACTTACCTTTTCCAGGGATTCCTTCTCAGTTCGAAGGTCTGTCAGCTCCTCCTCCAGGGACGTCACCTTAAGTTCCAGCTGTTTCCGGCTCTGCTTTTCACTTTTGAATTTGGACTGTGACTGCTCGAAGGTTTTTTGAAACTCTGGGAGAGAAGCACGGAGAGACCTGGCTGCAGAAGCAGGGCTGCCTTGGTGGGGTGGCACGTCAGAGGCGCTTTCAGAGCAGCACGCCACAGTCTCCCGATTCTACCATGCGGGCATCCTCCTCTCACCTGTGTGTTATCACCTTACTGACCTGAAATGAGGGCTTCTCAAGCCATCAGCCGACCCTACCACCAACCTGCATTCACCTGTAGGAAGTCATCTCCACATGTGTGGATGTCACCCTGCTCACATGCAAAACAGAAAAGCGACATTCCCAGCAGAGAGACCCACTTGGGAAATGGTCCTGAGGTTGATTGGGTTCTTTTTTTTTTTTTTTTGATTGAACTCAGGGCCCCTCACTAGGCAGGCATTCTATTAGTTGTGCCATTTTGGCATTGGTTATTTACGAGGGAAGATCTTGCTTTATGGCCAGGCCAGGCTGGGGCTGCCATCTTCCTACTTGTTCTTCCCTGGGCCACTGGGGATGGCAGGCATGTGGCATTGTGTGAGATGGAGTTTTACAAATTTCTTTTTGCGCAGACTGTCCTCCAACCGTGATTCCCAGTCTCCAACTCTCATCAGCTAGGACGCTAGGCCTCACCACCAAACTCACCGGGACTTACATTTTTAATTTAGTGCACTAAAATATACTTATTTGAAAAGCTGCTGAGACTCTTTAGGTAACTCATAGGGCACCACAAAGGCAGAAATGAGAGATCTATACCATATTCAAATTGAAAATGACCTAACTACAAATTGTCTAACATATGTCTGCCTCACTTTGGCACAAGTGAAGCTCCACAGAGAAGGAACATATCTCCAGGAATCACTTCAAAGCTTTTTACCCTTCATTAAGCAGAGAACTGTACTTTGACCCAACTCTGCTGCAGCTCCAGCTGCCCCCACCCAATGCCTCACCGAGGCCACTGCTCCATCTGCCTTCCACTTTGATCTCTCTATACTGAGATACATTGTATCCCATCATCAAGACCACCTTGTGCTAGGTACTGAACTAATAACCCTTATGTGGAGGAAGGGACTTGTAGAGATCAAGTCTTTTAGGGATTTGCATTCTGGAAGGGAAAACAGGCATTTAAATGTTACTTATCAAAGGCTGTGACAATGATTACCATGTTGCATGAAGAGGCATGGTACCATGGCACATGCCACTTAGGAGATATAGTATAGGACAATGTGGTTTGAGGCTGACCTGGGCAAAAAGCTAGCAAGACTCCCATCTCAATAAACAAGTGCAGTGTGGTTGTTCATGACTGTCATTCAGATATTGGGGAGGCACAGACAGGAGGATCATAGTCCAAGGTCAGCCTTGGAAAAAAGTGAGAACCAATCTGAAAAATTACCTAAAAAGCAACAAGAACTAGAAGCATTGTCAAGAGCAAGTGCAAGGCACTGAGTGCCCAAAATGATGGCACTAGTGGCTCACGCCTCTAATCCTAGCTTCTCACAATCCTGAGGATTGCGGTTCAAAGCCAGTCCAGGCAAGGAAAGTCTGTGACACTCTTATCTCCAATACAACCACCAGAAAAGCCAGAAGTGGCACTGTGGCTCAAGTGGTAGAGTGCTCACCTTGAGCTAAAGAGCTCAGAGGCAGCACCCAGGCCCAGAGTTTAAGCCCCACAACTGACAAGAAAAAAAAAAGATGATGATGGTGATGATGATGATGATGATGATGATGAGAATAATTTCACTAAGATATACGGATTTCAAAGGAGAAAAAAATAGTCTAGAAAAAAACAGGGAAAGCTTCTGAAAGAATTTTAGAAAGTACTAGAGATTTGGGAGAGGACTAGAAACAAATACCAATGATGGTGGGCATCCCAAGCCCAAAGAATAGCATTGATAAGACGCAAAATGGCAGGAGCTGAAGAGTAGCCAGTAAAGGCTCAGATGGGTGGGTAGTATAACAGGTAGGTGAGCCAAGCAGAGGTGCCTGAATGCAGGCCTCAAAATTGGAGTTCAGCATTAAGACAGATGAAAACAGAATAAGAAACACTTCTTTTCTTCTTTTAAGTCCATGAGTCATGAATTAAAAGAACATGAAGTTAACTGGGTACTAGTGGCTCATGCCTATAATCTACCAACTTAAAAGGTTGAGACTAAAAGATCACAGTTCAAAGCCAGCTCAGGCAGACAAATCTGAGATTCTTATATCCAATAAACCAGCAAGAAAAAAAAAGTAGAAATATGGCTTACGTGGTAGAGTGCCAGCCTTAAACAGAAAAAGCTAAGCAAAAGCACAAGGCCCTGAGTTCAAACTCCAGTACTATTACAAAAAAACAAGAACATAAAGATAATCATAAGTACCAAAGACACTGAAGTAACATTTGTCCAAACACAGGAGAACGGTGACAACTGATCAATTCCAAATGAATGGTCAGTTCTCTCTGTTTTTTATCAGCCCACTCTGATGCTCACTCAGGACTGCACAAATCTCAAGGACATTCTGCCAAAGGGACTGACAGGGAGGAAGCAGTTTTAGTTCTTAAGTTAAAAAGACAATAACACCAGCATCCTCCCCCTAGGACATACCTGAGAGCTCTGCCTGCAGTTTGGTGAGCTGGCCCCTGAGCACATCTGTCTCCTTTAAGCTTTCTGTCAGTTGCATCTGTAGCTCTGTTTCCTTCTTCTGATGAGCAGTCATTTTCAGCTGTAAGTGAGAGACCTGTGCGGTGGCTGCTGCTAGTTCTTCTGTCACCTTGGCCTGAATAGTGACAAAGAACAATGTCCAAAAGCATAGATGCTAGTTATCTCTAAGTGCTGACCCAACCAATGCTATACCTGAGTTAAGCAAACTGAATTGGTGGATAGGAAGGGAGCTAAAGCTACCTTCAACTTGTACCAACCAAAACCAAGCCTTGAAAATTTGCAATCTCAAATTCAGTTCTCTTACAGAATTTGTCCTTAAGAAATACTATTCATCTTATATACAAGATTATAAAAAATTTGTTACCAGCATGTCAATGCAACATTGCTTAAGGTTGTTAAGGGACTGGAAAACTCACAAAAAGCTGAGAACAGGCTCACTTAAGCAAATTATGACACATTCATCCTATTTGTAGCTATGAAAAATGGTGTTTGAAAAGAATATTTAATTAAAGCCGGTACCAGTGGCTCACTCCCACAATCCTAGCTACTCAAGAGCCTGAGATCTAAGAATGTCAGTTTGACGTCAGCTTGGGCAGACAAACTCAAGAGACTCTTATCTTTAATTAACCAGCAAAACACTAGAAGAAAAGGCATGGCTCAAGTGGTAAAGCCCTGGCTTTGAGTGGAATAAAAGCCGAGGAAAAGTTCCAGGACCTGGTTCGAGCTCCAAGACTAGCACATACCCCCCCCCCCCCCCCCCCCCGCGCCCCCCACCACAGACACACAAAAAAAAAACCCTACCCTTAATGTTATGAAATACAGTCACAAACCTAATATTAAATAAGGAACTTAAGTAGATTATAAAATACGTATCAGCTATAATTCTATTTTGACAGAATGAACACTTATGTAAAGGAGAGCTTGAATGACCTTTTAAAGCCATAGTTAATCTAGGTAGAATTATGGGTGCTTTGTATTTTCTTTTTGCTTACTAGATTTCTATTTTATTTATTTATTTTTTGTCGGTCACGGGGCCTGAACTCTGGGCCTAGGCACTGTCCCTCAGCTCTTCAGCTCAAGGCTAGTGCTCTATCAGTTGAGCCACAGCACCACTTCTGGCTTTTTCTGCTTATGTGATGCTGAGGAATCAAACCCAGGGCCTCATGCATGCAAGGCAAGCACTCTGCCACTAAGTCACCTTCCCAGCCCATAGATTTCTATATTTTATAAATGAGTCTCTTCAAAAAGATGTTTCATAAGTTGTTCTCCTGAAAAAAGTGTTTCTCCTGCTCAGTATTTAAAAAAAAATCAATAATGACAATCTTTTCTCATTCCTGTCCACTTCCCATCCCTCAAGCCTGTGAGAGATGCACTCTCACACTGGATGGCATTTATATAAATACTAATATAATTATTTCCCCATTTTCATATAAAATGGGACAATGAAAAATTAAAAAAAAATTCAGATACTAACTCCTAAGTCTACAATTTCTCCTAGGAGTACAATACTAACTTCCTTCTACATATACTTAGCCAAACATGGACCATCTTTACTCTGAAGAACCTAAAAATTCTCAAGTGACATTGAACAAAAATGAAATGACTACTCTGGAAAACTATCAGATAATATCTGAATATTAAGGATGACCACAGCAATGATGGTCAATGAAAAGAATGGCAAACAAAGAACAGATACCATGAAAACGGAACTAGCACAGAGCTCAGAGAACTTTGCATCAATTTATGGCTTAGAGGGTTCATGAATCCCAGAATAAGTACCACCCACACAAGACCTTGCAGCAGCTAAGAACCCCAGGAGGGACATACTTCAAAGGAGAGGCAATGGAATGGAAGGTCACTGTCTCACTGAAGGAAACAGAGTGGAAGGTCACTCCAAAACTCTTTTTACCCATGCCTTCAGCTAGAAAGGCCCACTTAGAAGCCTAAAATTACAATCACCCAAATACATGTCCATGTGTAAGGAGAATGGTAATATACTAAAAATGATTCTCCTTGACCAGAAAAGCTCTGTATGATTGATATCTTATATTTACCTGCACTTTCTAGAATACAACTAGTATCATTAGGAAAAAGTAGTATATATATGTATGTGGGTACATGTACATAGATATATGTATGTACATATATACACACACATAATTACAATGTTTTTCAAAAGTTAGGATAAATATCATCAAGTTACAAAGGAAATGGCAGCAGCCTACACAGCAGATGGGACTAAGATGGCTTCCCAGTTCCCACCCCAGATCCAACTCCACTGCACATGTAGAGAGCTGGGAAAGGAAAATGCTGACAGAAGAGCCAAGGGTGCCGAATAACAGAAAAATAGCATTCAAGTTAGAAGCAGGAAAATAGAACCAAAGAAGTAGCAATCTGATATAAGAAACAGACTGACGGGAAGTGAGATTTGGAACAAGTCTTGTATCCCACCCTGGGCCTCAGGGTGCATAAATAAGTGCATTAAAGTATATGACCTCTAATAGTTCTTCAAGTTTTATTCTTTATCCCATATAAAAATATTGATTCTATCATAGAGAATAGTAATTTCATTTTTTCGTTTGTTTAAGGCAGTATCTTGCTATATAACCCAGGCTGGCACAGTGCCTGCTTTAAGCAAAAAAAAAAAAAAAAAGCCAAGCAAGGCCTCGAGTTCAAATCCTAGTACTAGCACATACACATGAAAGAAATCCTCATTACTTATTACCAGAATAGGAGAAAGTGAGAGAATGCCACAAGTTATAGAGTATATCCTATTTAACTTTTCAAGTTTTCAAGGAGAAATCAAATGTATATTATATATTATATATAAATTTATACATATATTTATATAAATATAAAATAATAAGAACTCTTGAGGAAATAGCAGGTATAAGGATGTTCATCTCCCAGAAGAGAAGTGATGGGCTAAATCCGAAGCAGGACTGGTACCAGAGTCAGCCAACTCAACCCAAGCTCCATTAGCATTCTCCTCATTGCTACTCTAGGAACTGGTCACAATTCTGAATTTTGAACAGACAGAAGCCATAGAAGTACTATAAGATGCTTGGCAGACTCAGATGAAGGAGCAAACTAGACAATTTTAAATTCCAATTAAAAAACACATACACATTTATTATGTAGCACTACAGAAATTTTCTGTTGGTTTTGTCAACAGAATAAATTTAATTTTTAGTAAATTGTGTAATTCTTACCTTTAGCAAACTATTAGGACTGTGATTGGTTTTTTGTTTTTTGCCAGTCTTAGGGGTTTGAACTTGGCCTGGGCACTGTCCCTGAACTTTTGTGCTCAAGGCTACCTGTTCTACCACTTGAGCCACAGCTCCAATTCAGTTTCCAGCAGTTAAGTACAAATAAAAGTCTCACAGGATTTCTGCCTGGGATGGCTTCAAACTGCAAACCTCAGATCACAGCCTCCTAAGTAGCTAGAATTACAGGAATGAGCCATTGGCGACTGGCTTGGTGATTGTTATTGAGTCAATTTGTTACAAAGTATATTATAAGACAGAAGCATGAATGATAATATATGAAAATCTGGTGAAAGATTTCTCCTTCTCTTCTCAATGATGACAAAAACTCTGCTGAAAAGACACTCAGGAAGTTCATATGCAGGACCACACCTTAGCACAGCATATTCCCACCTGGGCTTTTCTCTGCCCAGTTACTTTACCTTCTCTTGTTCAGCATGCAATACTCTTGCCTGTGTGTTTTCTGTGGCTGTTAGAAGTGAGTTGTTCCTCTTCTCCATCATCAGGTTACTCTGCTCAACATACCTGAGTCAGAAATGAGGACAAAGAACATTTATTGACCATCACATGTATATATGTCAGGTACAATCTGATGCACACTCAGTTCTCAAAACTTTGTTAATTAAACTAATCTGAAAGCATTTTGTTTTCTTTACACTTGCACTAATCAAGTTTGGAGGCAGTAAACAGGGTGCATGGTGAAAGAGAATTAGGAAAGAAACAGGAGAGAAGAAAAGAAAGCCACTCTTCCAGTGCTACTACCTGGGAGATAAGAGATACACACTGAAGAAAAGAAATATGGGGGGCTGGGAAGGTGGCTCAGTGGTAGAGCGCTTGCCTTGCATGCCTCAGGCCCTGGGTTCGATTCCTCAGCACCAATAAGCAAAAAGAAAAAAAGCTGGAAGTGGCGCTATGACTCAAGTGGTAGAGAGCTAGCCTTGAGCTGAAGAGCTGAGGGACAGCGCCCAGGCCCAGAATTCAGGCCCCACAACCGGACCCCAAAAAAAAGAAGAAAAGAAATATGGGAGAACTTTTTTCCTTTTTTTTGGTGGTGGTATATGGTATATGGTTTTTTTTTTTCCTTTTTATTTTGAGGCAAGTATAGACATGGTCCTGAGTTCTGGCCCAGCTTTCTTATTCATGGCTCAAGCTCAACCACTTGAGCCATGCCTCAATTTTGGACTTTAATCGTTAATTCAAGATAAAAAGTTTTTTGTTGTTGTTGTTGGTGGTGGTTGTGGGGCTTGAACTCTGGGCCTAGGAGCTGTCCCTCAGCTTTTCAGCTCAAGGCGAGCAATCTACAGTGCCACTTGTGCCACAGTGTCACTTCCGGTTTTCTGGTGGTTAACTGGAGATAAGAGTCTTCATGGATTTTCCTTGCCTGGGCTGGCTTTGAACCACGATCCTCAGATCTCAGCTTCCTAAGTAGCTAGGATTACAAGCCACCAGTGCCCAGCAAGGTAAGAGTTTTGAAGACTTTTCTGCCTGGCTTCAAACCTTGATCCTCCAGGTCTTGGCTTCCTAAGTAGTTAGGATTATAAGTGCAAACCATTGGGCACCTGTCTGGTTCTGGGCTTTGAACTCAGGTCCTTTTTGCCTAGTATTTGGCAAGCACTCTACCACTGAGACTTGTCTCCAGTAAGAATGATTTATTTTTAATAAAATACTGTTATAGCATACTCTTCTGACCTCCCAAATCTTCAGAAGGATCCATAAAAACTATAAAATGCCTGAGTGTCATATAAAAGTCAATGTGACTCTGGTTGATTTCCAGTTGATAAAATGGCATACAGAGAAACAAGAAGAGTTAACATTAGAGCTTTCTAAGTATTAATACCATTTAGAGATGAAAAAACTAGGGCCTGTGACTAACAATAAATGAAGGGCAGAATTGGGAGTCAAATAGAGGTCTGTCTTATGTCAGAGCCAGTGAGTTCTTCCTCCTACCAAACCAGAACATAAGCAGTAATTCCCATGACAGGCAGGAAACAAAAATGACAGAAATAGAGTTGGAAGTGTAGCTTAGACGTGCTTAGTATGTTTAATTCCCAGCATTGCAGGAAAGGAAAGAAAAAGAGGAGGAGAAGGAAGGGGCAGAAATAAGTACACACACACAAGTACACACACACACACACCAGTACACACACACACAAGTACACACACACACACACCAGTACACACACACACACACACACACACACACACACACACACACACACACCATCCAGGCCCCGTACCTGTCATTACCTCTGATTTCGTTCAATTAATTCACTAATCTTGTCATTCTGTTCTTCTATCCGACTGCTCTTCTCAAGGATCTCTTGCTTCAATCTTTCATTTTCCTAAATTCCAAAAATAGGACATACAAGGTGTTTTATAAGTACTGAATAAAAGGGAACAGCTTGAACTCAGGACCTTGCACATGCTATGCAGGTGCTCCACCACTTGACCCATACCTCCAGCCCATGTTAATGTACTTTGAGACAAAAACCTAGAACTTAACATTCATATGCATATAATAATTTTAAAAAACATATATCTGATGGATACAAATCAATATGCCAAATGGGCTGTGTGTTTAAATGTCCATACAATGAAACAAGATTCTGAAATAGGGCCCAAAAGCAATGTTTCCTTCTGACTAATTACTAATATAATGATTAGTATATTATATGACATTAATATGGTATACACCATATAATATGCTAAGCTGTATAGTATATAGTATTAGTATAGTATGTAATAGATACGCTAGTCCCTGGGACTAAATGAAGCCCTGATGAATTTTCCTGATTTTCTAACCCAAATGTTAAAGTGCAGCACGTGTGGAGTGAGAGTGTGGTTATGACCTCTAGGCCAAGTACTGTGCTGGCAACCACTCTCACCTGGATGATCCGCTGGATGTTGCTCATAATCATGCTTGTTTCCAATGTGACAGACATGCCAGGAATAAGCATGGAGCTGCCAGCACTCTGCTTCTGTAACTCTTCAACCTACAGAAGGGATGCCAGAAAGCAGACAATGTAAAAAAAAAATGTAACTTAGATATCCAGTAACGACTATGAATATAAAAAACCAAAGAAGAGCTTGTTTAGAGCTTTGGCTGTTTTGTTTGTGCCCCACTTTTATACCCCCAACCCCAATATGGCCCCAACCCTAACCCAGTCACCTTAGCCATAAGATGATCCATTTTATCAGCCACTTTACTGACTGCCATTCGAATTTCAGTGTTAGACTGCCGGGCTTCAGTCATCAGAAATGAAGTCATGTCACCTGATCCTAAAGAGACAGAAACCAAAAAGAAACTTACAAAACTAGAGCATGAGGAAAAGTGAATGGCTCTTTCAGCAGAAGAAAGAAAGGCATGACTGCTTCCTTGGCATAGGAAATATAATGAGTATTTTCACACTGTCAGGAAGAAAGGGGATCAAAGGGTCCAAAACTATTAATAACTAAGTAAAGTTCTTCCAAAATGTATTAAGGGTTACACAGTGTGATTCAAGGGCACAAGAATGCCAAGTTTGGACTGCCATAGTCCTGGCAGTTCATACTGCTTCCCATTCATGCCACTGTCCAGGTACCAAGGATACAGTAGTGAGTAAAACAAGTGCTAGGCTTTGTTGAGTTCTCAGTCTGATGGGGATATGGACATGTAAATAAATCATTACAACAGAATATTTTAAGTGCAAAAAATGAACCATGTACAAGGTCCATCACACAGAAGAGGGAGGGAAGGGGAGAATCAGGGAGGAAGAAGATGTGTTTGGAAGGATGCAAAACTAGTTTTCCAGGGCTGGGAAGGTGGCTCAGTGGTAGAGCGCTTGCCTTGCATGCCAGAGGCCCTGGGTTCGATTCCTCAGCACCACATAGGCAAAAAGAAAAAAGCTGGAAGTGGCACTGTGGCTCAAGTGGTAGAGCGCTAGCCTTGAGCTGAAGAGCTGAGGGACAGCGCCCAGGCCCAGAGTTCAGGCCCCATAACCGGACCCCCCCCCAAAAAAAACTAGTTTTCCAGATGGAAGAACAGGGTTCCAGACAAAGGCTGGATCCAATTCACAGCTGTAATCACACCAAGGTGATTACCAAATAAGAGACAAACCACAGAACAAGGCAGAATATCAACACACCTGATGACATTTCATTTTGTTTGGTATGTTTACACGAAACTGGTACAAATATACAAAATACCTGAACTGTTACCCAAGTAACTGCTAACAATGGTTATTCATGGTTGGGGCCGGGGGTGGGGGGGATGCTTAATAAGGAAGGACAGTAGTTTTTCCTTTTATATTCATTATAAAAGTGTGTTATTTTCATGACATGCTGTCTTCATGTTTTCTCACAATTTCCTCCAGAGTCTGCTCTTTTACTATTTTCCATAAACTCTAGCCACTCTGACAGAGGAAACTGAAAGGACTGGTAGGAGAAAATTCATGAAACACAATCCAGAATGTGGGAATGGGGATCTTGGGGATGATTGAAATGTTCTAAAATTGGATTGTGGTGATAGATGCAAAACTCTGAAATTTTCCTTAAAACAAAGAATCTTTGAATTGTACAATTAAAACAAGTGATTTATAAATCATACCTTAGCCAAGCTGTTAGGAAGAAAGGAAAGAAGGAAGGAAGGAAAGAAGGAAAGGGAAAATGAAAAGGAGAGGAAAATGGAGAAGAGGAAGGAGAGACAAAAGGGAGGAGGGAGAGAGAAAAGGAGGGAGGGAGGGAGGGAAGAGAGCTGTTGGAGTGCAAACAAAAAAAGGATGAGAGAAAGTGGAGGATGAGAGATGGAGGGAATCACTTCTCACCTTGAAAATGGGGAGCCTGGGATAGTGGTACTGGATACAAGGGCCGAACAGGCTGCAGTTGCGAGGTGACCGCAGATGCCTGGGGATAGGCATAGGCTTGTATACCTGCATAGGGCTGAGAAAAGACCGAGTTATCGCTGCTTTTGTAGACATTCATGTCTTTTTTCTCTCTCTTAGTTTCTCTGGTGGAATAAGATGGATAATCAGAGAGGAGATTCAAACTTATTGAAGCTGGAGATGGATGAGATCAGGACTGGGCAGCAGATAAGGATTGAAGCAGTTATCTAAGGTGTCCTGTCACTGAAGTATTACCTAGAAATACAGGGATGGATATGTTGGATCACTACCCAGTCCACTGGTGATATGACTTAGTGACATGTGAATTAATTCGCCTCAGTCAGGCCTTCTTTTAAGGACATTTTAAAGTAAAGTCATTTTTAAATAAGCAAACTCTGATTAGTTTCCCTTGAAGTAAAATGGAGAAGTGTTCAGAGATTTTAAACAAAATTAGCTAGTTTCTGAGATGAAAGTACCACTCCATCTAGATTTGGAGGTTGATGACATGAAGTGACAGAGGTAAAGTTAAAATTAAGTGTCTGGCAGAAAGTACATGCTCAATAAGCAGCACCTATCATTTTAGTGTAGACAATTATTTTCCCTGAAATTAGGAAATGTGGCTTATTTCTAGAGGCACTGTAACTAGTTGACCATTACTTAAACAACAAAAAAATAGTCTATGACAGAATAATTTTCTTTTGGTGGGAGGGCTTCCTTTAGTTTGTTTGGCAGTACCAGGGCTTGGTTTAGGCCATCAAATTTGCTAGGCAACCCTGAGCCCTGCCCCCAAGTTATATGGTCACACTTCCTGCCCAGGAAGATCTCAATTCACATATTTATAGCTCCTGCAAAACAGGACAACATGTGCACACCACCAGCTATTGGATAAGAAGGAAATCTCATGAGTTATTACCATTTGTTTATTGGACTGGATTGGCCTCAAGTCACAAATATCTCAGTCTCCCATATAGCTAGGATTATAGGTGTGGGCCACCAGTACCAGCTTTGATACTTCCCATACTAGTGAAGCATAGTGCTCCTCCCCCTTCACTAAGAATCACCGCCAAGTAAGCCCCTGATGTCAACGAGAGTGTATCTTATTCAAGTGTGTTCAGGCAGAAAGAAGAATCATTGCCCTGGCAAAGAGTGAGCAGAGGCCGATAGACTGCTGCCACCACCTTCCATAATAACAGAAAAAGCCTACTTTAAGAGAACACTTTGGGAGGATAACTAGACAGCAGAATTCAGCTGTATTTCCCATAGTTTCCATCCTTAATCTGCAGGTACTCTGCTGACCTACTAGAAGGCATGACTATGTGCCCATCAAGTAGGTATGTGTGAAAGGAAAGGAAGCACGTGTTCACTGCAGGCACTGACTGGATCCTGACAATGTGCCATACAAAGGTCTAATACAAGGGACTGGGCTTGCTCTTACACCTCATCTTCACAACTTGGAAGTAGGTAACCCACTGTGTCTTAGAGCTGGGAAGGTAGCAACTTAGAAAGGGGAATGATCAACTCCAACTTTGGGGAAGTGATACTATTCAAAGAGGAAGGAAGGAATCTTCTTCCTGTATGCTTACAAGAAAAAAGACTAACCAGAACCATAATAAAGTATAGTTTATAATGAGGGTTTGAAAATGTTGTTACCTGAAAGGACTGGGCATTTCCAGATACAGCTGAGTGGGAATCGAGAGATGTAACTTGCATTAAGGCAGGAGAGGGTGCTTGGAGCCCAGAAACAGAAGGCTGAGCTGCTACAATAAAGCAAGATGTTTCCACTGTTATCCACCCTTGCTTACTGGCACAGATCTGGACGAGTCCCTGACATACCCCATACATCAGACTCAGCCACTTTCTTCATCTAGTTTCCTACACCTGTTCCACTGACACCCAGCCATAAGCCAGTGGAAGGAAACTGGATGTTCTCATGTGCCTCTGACTTAGACCTCTATGATTCTATCAGCTGATGGGATATGCAAAATAACACACAGAGATGTGTCAGTAGCTGAGTGCAGGTTTCCCAAATGGACAACACAACACAGCAAAAGTCACAATGAGCAGGCCAAATATATCTCCAAGTCTGAGATGCTCTGACCCAGGGATAAACTGATAAGTTTTACATTCCAGTCCAATAGCCTTACAGTTTAGAATAGTGATGCTAATTTTGGTGCTGACCCGATTCAAGGACATGGAGCCTCAGAGAGGTTCCCTTCTTACCCTGTGAAGCCATCTGTGGTAACACTGGATGAACTGGCTGAAGAGGAGGCTGGCTGGAAGGTGTCACCAGGGGCTGCTCAGCTCCTCGCAAAGCAGTAATTTCCTGGAACAGACACAAGGATTTGGTCACTTATTTGAGAGTCCTTTACTGAAGACTGAGCAAAGAAGAGGAAGGAAACATAAGCAGAAAGCCAAGTTGAGAGAATGAGTCACCAGGGAAGAAGCAACCAATTGTACAATAAAGAGTCCTTCTAGAAAATCCTATCAAATAGTTTCATATCGTTACTTTCCTCCAACTTTCTACAAAGTTGATGTTTTAATTGTCTGTAGCAACCAAAATGACAGCCCTTTAGGATGTGTCATTTCCCAAACCTTAAGACTGATTTTGGAAAAAAAAAAAATCTCCATAGACCTCAAGGTGTTCAGTGAAAAATGGGGCAGAGTAGGAGTCATCACGCTTCATTAACATGCTGGTTTTGGATAATAGAGTTTTAGAGTGCTTGCCCATGCTTTCTTTTCATAAAACCAGAGCTGTAATTCTAAAGGAAGTAAGTCTACATCTTCTTGTTTTATGCAAAGATCAGAAAATGTTGTGGCACTGTATAAAGTGACTATAATCTGCTATGCTATAGTACTAGGGCTTGAAGACTGTTGGCCATTCTTTCATTTTAAAACTTCCGAGTCGGGGCTGGGAAGGTGGCTCAGTGGTAGAGCACTTGCCTTGCATGCCTGAGGCCCTGGGTTCGATTCCTCAGCACCACATAAGCAAAAAGAAAAAAAGCTGGAAGTGGCGCTGTGGCTCAAGTGGTAGAGCGCTAGCCTTGAGCTGAAGAGCTGAGGGACAGCGCCCAGGCCCAGAGTTCAGGCCCCACGACTAGACACCCCCCCCAAAAAAAAAAGATTGATCTTATGGGGCTGGGAATGTTGGCTTAGAAGTAGAGTGCTTGGCTAGCATGCATGAAGCCCTGGGTTCAATTCCTCAGTACGACATAAACAGAAAAAGCCAAAAGCGAGGCGGTGTGGCTCAAATGCTAGCCTTGAGCAAAAGAAGCTCAGGGACAGTGCCTAGGCCCTAAGTTCAAGCCCCAGGACTGGCCAAAAAGAAAAAAAAGAAAAAAAAAAGATTGATCTTATGGGCAATGGAGATTCAGGTAAATGATGGCTGATTTAATTATAACACTTAGTTCTTATGGCAGATACATAGATTTTAGTTCCATTTCTACTACTAATACAAACTTATTGTGCATATAAGCTCTTGAGATAATAATTCTGGGTTAGCGGCAGAAAAAGCAATTCTTTTAGCCAAAGCACATCTGTATTACTCATCCAAATACAACAAAGGGACATACTTCAACTTCTGAGTCATTGGACTCCAGCTGTGGTGGAAGGATAGGCAGCATGGGCTGGCCCATTTTAGCCATCCGGGAGATCAGCTTGGCCTTGACTGTATCAGGATTCTAAAAAGAGAAAGCCACAAAAATCTCTGTGATTAAGGTTCATTACCTTTAGGCAGCTACAACTTTGCCTCTTGTATTAAATCACTAAACAAGTAATCCTACTGTATCCATCTGAAACCATTTCCTCTAGAAAATGAGAATTATAGCAGTAAAAATAATTCCTTTCATGTTTGGAATAGATAGAGTGGTTTCATATATATATTACCTCCACACTGGGAATTAATTATTTCTATTTTTCAGATTAAAAGCTAAGGCAGAAATGTTAAGAAAAAGAGGCATTTTAGCTGACAGGACCTCCTCCAAGCATGAATCGAGTCAATAGAAAAATACTTAGAAGAAATTTGTAAAGGGAAGAAAGAGGAGCTCTTTGTGTTAAATTCAAGTTCATTTAGCTCTGATTTGGCTGTATTTTACATCCTGGGTTAGTAGCTCATGTGTCCACTAGGTGGCTCAACAGGTAGTCTTCAGAATGAAGTTACACAAATGTACTTACTATCTTGCCCATGTAATTGTAACCCCTCTGTACAGTATTTTCACAATAAAAAAAAAAAATTAAAAAATGTACCTGAAGGTACCCAAAATGATTTCCTAGATGTATGAAGAAATGATTATAACCTTCATTGCTACTATTTTTTCAGGTAAAAACATAAAACATTAAACTTGTTTACATGGATTAACAGTCCATTGTGTATATAATTTGTCACAATTCAGGATTGTGTGCCCATTTTTTTTTCCTTAACGGGTACAAATAATTTAAAAAAAATGGATACATCAAAAGAAGAAAGAGGATTAGACATATAAACCATATCCACACCATGGAACATCACAATCTTCAGATTAAAAGAAGAATGAGGGAGGGCTCTACACACTAACATGGAAAGATGCCTTATATACTACATATAAAATGCAAGGTGCTCTACTCAGGAGGCTGAGAACTGAGGATTACGGTTCAAAGCCAGCCCAGGCAGGAAAGTCTGTGGGACTCTTATCTCCAATTAATCACAGAAAAAACTGGAAGAGGCTTTGTGGCTCAGTTGGTAGAGTTCTAGCCTTGAGCAAAAAGGAGCTTAGAGACAGAGCTCAAGCCCAGAGTTTGAGCTCCAGGACCAGCAAAAAAAAAAAAAAAGCAAAGTACTATCTATCTATCTTACTCTTTTTTATGTGTGAAAGAAGGATGAAAAAATAAAACATACATTCCAGTTTGCCTGCACCAGTATAACGAAACACTGGAAGAATATGCAAGGACACAGTAAAAGTAGTTACCTAAGGAATGAGATGGAGTAGGGCAGACTGGAGCATCTATCTACTTCTTACAAGGACTGAGTAACCGCTATATTATCCTGTTATATTATTATGATAACTGTACCATATGATTGCAATTACCTACTCAAAACAAAAAAGGCTTAAAAGTAAAAAATGGTTAATTTTATGTTATATGTCTTTTCTTTTTTTTTTGTAAGTTGTGGGGCTTGAACTCTGCACCTGGCACTGTCCCTCAGCTCTTCAGCTCAAGATTAGCGCTCTACCACTTGAGCCAAAACACCACTTCCAGTTTTCTGGTGGTTAATTGGAGATCAGAGTCACATGGACTTTCCTTGCCTGGAGCTGGCTTTGAACGCTCAGATCTCAGCCTCCTGAGTAGGTAGGATTAGAGACATGAGCCATGGGTACCTGGCATGATATATATTTTCTTTCTTAAAATAAGCTAAACTACAAAAAAGAAATTTAATGGTTGGACATCACTGGTCTGACAGAAGTTGCTAAAGTTCAGAAACAGGCGACAAGTACAATGGAGCCCATACTAAGCAACTTTTGCAGCTGTTCAAAGCCTTGAGATTATCACTACTTATGCATTTCTTTTCTGATTCATAGCTTAACCTTCTGGGTTTAGGTGACCGTTTTTTATACACATCATACCCATTGTTTGCTTAATAATCCTGCTTTGGGCTGAATATAAACAAGTAAATTAGAGTTGGACAGAAATGAAGCACATCTCTCCAGGCATCTGTGGTTCCTGACATGACAAGTGAAGGCTTCCAGCACCTGACAAGCTTTAGCCACCACATGGCCCACTTGAGGCATGCGTTAAAGCCTGCACAATCAGGTAGGGCAGCAGCAGTGTGTCCTTCCTAAAGGTGTGTCCTAATTTTACTAGAACAGAAGGTTGGGGAAACAGAGGCCCAGAGACCTGCTCAAAGTCAATCAGTTGGTGACTAAACCCAAAACTCCTGAGAGAAATAAGTATAAAGATATGTATCATTAGCATTAACTAAGCTAATGTTTATTAAACTCTTACAATATGCCAGACATAATACTAAAAACCACAAGTTCTACTTTGTAGATGAGGAAGTAAATCTGAGGATTTGAAAGCTAGGTTGCTCAAGGTCACAGTGAGAAAATAGCAGAGAAGCCTACCACTAACCATTAATATCTCCAATAAATGATGTCTCTACAAGGGAAGTGCATTTAAGTAAGGTGCTCTTTGCCCAATATAACACGATTCTAATGATAATCACAGATACTATTTACTAAAGACATATTGCACAAAGGCTCTGAGCTCAGAGCTTTATAAGTATCTCTAATCCTTACAAGAACTGTATTAGGGACTGGGAAAATGGCCTCTATTCTTACAATGTTGCTGAGGAAGAGCAAAGTTAAGATCCTTTCTCAAGGCCTCATACTACTAAGAATCAAGACTGTAGATGCAAGCCAGGTGACGGTGGCTTATGCTTGTAATCCTAGATGCTCAGGAGGCTGAGATCTGAGGATCAAGGTTTGAAGCTAGCCTAGACAGAAAGATCCATGAGATTCTTATCTCCAATTAACCAGCAAAAGCCAGAAGTGGAGGTGTGGCACAAGTGGTAGAGTGCCAACCTTGAAAAACAAAACGAACCCGAGTAAGAAGGCCTTGAGTTCATGCCCCGGTATTGGCACGCGCGTGCGCGCGCACGCACACACACACACACACACACACACACAGATACACACACACACACACACACACACACACACACACGGCTATAGATTAAAAAACCCAGGATAATTTATACTGACTCCACACACACACACACAAAAAGGCTATAGATTCAAAAACTCAGGATAATTTATACTGACTCCACACACACACACAAAAAGGCTATAGCTTCAAAAACCCAGGATAATTTATACTGACTCCACACACACACACACACACACACACACACACACACACACACACACAAAAGGCTATAGATTCAAAAACCCATATTTATACTGACTCCAAGTAGAAGAAAATGAATAAAGGACCCATGATTTTTAGCCTAAATCAATGGCTAGGCACAGGACACTCTAGCAAGCTGAAAGTAAGGGGACAAACTCATACTTACTGTATTTACTGTAAGCTGTTCATTGAGAGAGTTGGATTTGCTACGAAGAACAGGCTCCCTGAAAACAAACAAGACATAACCTGAGATAAAGCAAACTCACAATCACAAACCGAGATTCTGCTGTTAAACAAATTGTTTTTTCAAAATGAACACCAACTGATAAGCTCTAAAAAGAATTTGAATGTTTTAGCTTACAAAATCTTGGAATGCAAGTGAAAATGAACTACTTCCCACTTGAATTCTTGTTTACTTTTTTTTCATGAGTGTATATTTTATATTAATGTCCTTCTCGGTTTCCTTCCAGAGTTTTTCAAGTACTCTCATTTGAATTAATAGTTTTATAAACTAAGAATATTAATCCTTCGTCAGGAAAATCATGTGCAAGTTCTATCTCACTGGTTCCATTTTTTCCCATATATTTCACATTATTTATTTTAAAATTATGTCCATATTTCTGAAGCCTTCCAAAAGTTGTTTCTACTACATTGGAAGAGCTTGCTACAACCCCCGCACCTCACCCTGATTTAGAAGGCACTGATGTAGGTGACGACATAACAGGATCAGCAGAGAGGCTGTCAGCACCAGGAATGGGAGAGGGAGCTACCGAACCCCGGGAACTGACACTGTGTCCATCAGCACCAGAATCTCGAGCAAACTTCACCTAGGGAAAAAGCCAGCACAGGTGGAATGGGCTACAAGCATCCTCTTCCCTGCCCAGCATGTATTTCTCATGTTTCTACTCCTCAAAACACAATCTATCATCTCTCCATTGTAGATAAATCAGAAACTGCTAAAAAAAAATGATTAATTACAACTCAACTACCTTATGTTAGCTTGTGTGTGTGTGTGTGTGCATGTATATTTTTAATCAAAAATGAAATCATACTGTTTTATAACTGGCACTGTTCACTCACTAGTATGTTAACATGTTCCAGTACTGGGGCTTGAACTCAGGGCCTCAGGCTCTTGCTCAGCTTTTTTGCTCACTGCTGGTACTCTACCACTTGAGCCACCCCTCAGTTCCAGCTTTTTGTTGGTTAATTAGAAGCAAGAATCTCCTGAACATTGCTGCCCAAGCTGGCTTTGGACCGTGATTCCTAGATCTCAGTGCCCTGAGTAGCTAAGATTGTAGGCATGAGCCACCAGCACCTGGCCCATTTTTAATATTCAAAGAAATCTGTCTGCAGAATCTGGTTCTCAAACACATGCATTTAACACACACTTTAATTTTCAGAGAGGTAGCTCATTACACACAACACAGCACAGGTCACTCACCCGTCTAACCTCCACCTCGAACACCAGGATTGAGTCTGCTGATTGAGTCCAGCCTATTACCCCTTCAGAGCCAGTGGCACAGGCTGGAGGGACAATTAGCAACCGTTTTCCTCCCTTCTTCATGCCCAGCATTCCATCCTCCCAGCCCTATGGAATCAGAGATGAGGAAAAAGCTCATCAGAAAGGGAGGCCTCATAAGGCAAAACTAACTGCAGGAGCATTGGATTTCACTTACTCATATACAACATTAGATAATGCCTCTGGTGGTCAAGATCAATTATTACCACGTTGGTTGTAAGAAAATCTACAATATAGCTTCTAAACCTACTAGTAAAACCTGCAATCTGGTGTTGGATGAAGTACATGTATCTTAGATAGTAATAGAAAATAAGAGTGATTTAATAGAAGCCCAGAACCAATGGCTCATACCTATAATCCTAGCTGCTCTGAGATCTAAGGACTATGATTCAAAGCCAGCCAGGAAGACAAATACTAGAGACTCTTATCTCCAATTAGCTAGCAAAAAGTCAGAACTGGAGATATGACTCAAGTGGCAGAGCACCAGACTTGATCAAAAACTAAATGAGAGCTTGAGGTCCTGAGTTCAAGCCCCAGTACCAGCATATGCAAGCACGTGTGCACACATATGTGCACACACACACAAGTTATCATTATTAAATATGTTTTTTCTACGCAGTGGCTTTTTTTTGGGGGGGGGGTCCAGTCGTGGGGCCTGAACTCTGGACCTGGGCGCTGTCCCTCACCTCTGCAGCTCAAGGCTAGCACTCTACCACTTGAGCCACAGCGCCACTTCCAGTTTTTTTTCCTTTTGCTTATGTGGTGCTGAGGAATAGAACCCAGGGCCTCATGCATGCAAGGCAAGCGCTCTACCACTGAGCCACCTTCTCAGCCCCATGCAGTGTGTTTTATGTGCTTGTTTAATCCCCAAGATAATCATAATCTCCTAACATTGAGGCCATTTTTACAGATATGAAAACTGAGGCCTTTGGGGGTGAAGTAACTAAGTTAAGACTCAAGTAAGACCTATCTAGCTCCAAGGATCATGAATGGATGGACACAGCACCATGTACCCACATGTGCTAATATAATACTTCATGTACATAAAGTATTCTTTTTTTATTTTGGTTGGTCATGGGATTGAACTCTGGGCTTGGGCATTGTCCCTCAGATCTTCAGCTCAAGGCAAGCACTCTACCACTTGAGCCACAGTGCCACTTCCAGTTTTCTGGTGGTTTACTGAAGATAGTCTTATGGGCTTTCCTGCCTGGGCTGGCTTTGAACCGTGATCCCAGCCTCCTGAGTAGCTAGGATTACAGGTGTGAGCCACCAGCGCCCAGCTAAAATATTCTTTAGTTCATAAAACATTTGCATGGTTGATAAAAACAAAATTCACAACTTGAACTCAGGTCTTCAGATTCCAATCCCCTCCTGTTGTGTTGTAGTTGCAAAGTGAGCCAGAGAGATGAGAATTAACCTACTATGACACAATTTTGGAAAAAACTAGTTTCACCTCTTTCTCTGTGAAGCTATGGGAAGGGTATGGTAATTTTGTCAGTCACAGGATGAAAAAGGGTAGGAATTACAGAAAACAAATATACCTGTCTTCAACACAGTGTCTCATAGGCAAAAATCTCCCCAAAGTGGACAATGCAACACCTTTGACCATCCTAATTTCTATCCAGGTATTTCTAGACTCTTGGAAGATACATCCAGGTTAGAAATGCCACAATCAAAATATAGTAGATCATTACCTTGATGACTTTTCCTGATCCTAATTTCAGGCGAAGCAGCTTATCTTTGTTTGCAGTGGAGTCAAAAACCTTCAATTTGAACAAAGTAAAGGAGGTCACACAATTTCAAATACATAATAACTATTCAACTAACCATACTGGTACTTTTTTTTCTTTGCCAGACAAGGGCCTTGAACTCAGGATCTAGGTGCTGTCCCTGCTTTTTTGCTCAAAGCTAGCACTCTACTACTCTGAGCCACAGCTCTACTTCCAGTTTTTAGATGGTTAATTGGAGATAAGAGTCTCATGGCTTTCCTGTCCCAGGTGGCTTTGAATTGTGATCCCCCGATCTCAGTCTCCTGAGTAGCTAGGATTACAGGTGTGAGCCATCAGCCCGTGGCCATAGAGGTTCTTCTTAAAGAGAAGATAAAACAGGAAGACAGTCCTAAAAATAAAAAACTTGAAAAAGGTAATATTTTGGCTAAGGGTTATTGATAGTGAAAATCTCTGGAACAATAAATTCCCACACAAGAAAAAAAAAAACTTTCTTTATCACTAGGAATTTGAACATTTTCTCAAATAATTTGGCTCATTTGATGCTGATACTAAACCTACCAAGTAATTAGTATAAGGATCGTTAACTTTTATTCACAAATGAAAAACAAAAAAGCTTATACGACTTGATCAAGGTCAACTTGAGTAAAATTGAGACTTTCACCCACATTTTTTTAAGTCATAAAGATCTCCCAGCCAGGTACCTGTGATCCTAGCTACTCAGGAGGCTACTCACAGTTTGAAGCCAGCCTGGGCAGAAAAGTCCATGAGACTCTAAATCTTCAATTACCAGCAAAAACCTGAAAGTGGAGGTATGGCTCTACTAGTAGAGCACCTGCCTTGAACAAAAAAGCCAAGTCCCAGTGCCAGAACAAAAACAAAAACAAGCAACAACAACAAAAAGAAAACCTCAGAACTTTCTGTCCTATTGCATTTGAGGGCTTAATATTAAAAACACAACAAGCCCAATGTGTTTACAGTATCCAATATGAGAAAACACAGGAAGGTATAAAAAGTACATCCAGGGCTAGGAATGTGGCTTAGTAGTAGAGTGCTTGAGAACATGGGTTTGATTCCTCAGTACTATATAAACAAACAACAACAAAAAAAGTACATCCATCTTTAAGACTGGCATGGGAGAAAAACAAACACATGAATATTTGAGAAACTGGTTTCCACTTGTTCAAGTGGAAGAGAGAGAGTGAGGCACTGAACAGACTTTATGCTTCATTTTATAGCTCATGTGGTAGTGCCTAAAAGTTTCCATCTGCCAACAGCCGCAATTCACAGTAATATGCACAGCCTTCATGGTACCTAAACTACAAAACAACTTGCAAGGCCAGTTTTTTTTTGTTTTTTGTTTTTGTTGGTCATGAGGCCTGAACTCTAGGCCTGGGCGTTGTCCCTCAGCTCTTCAGCTAGCGCTCTACCACTTGAGCCACTGCACCACTTCCCAAGGACAGTTTCTTACCTGACCCAGAACATGATTCTGAAAGAGCCACCCTGTATACGCCACTTCTAAGGAATCTCCATTTTCCACAGCAGGACCCTCTGTCACAACGAGGTCCTGAGAGACTACTGCATCAAAGGAAGGGGTGCTGTTGCACTTGGCAATACACACCTGAAAAAAAAAATCAAAGCAGCATACATTTGATTTAACCTTCTAAGAACTCATCCCATTATCGCAACTGTTCTTTCTCAAACTGCTACACCCATGAACAAACAGATTATAAAGTTTAAAGTGAACAAACAGATTATAAAGTTTAAAAGTAAACCATTCCAAAGCCTGTGATGCTGCCAAGAACCATGAGGCCTAAAAGCATGGCTTTGGAGGCAGAATATCTGAGTATATGTCTGGTACATGCACTGCTAGTTCTTGCTCTGACTGTGGTCAGATAACTTAATCTTCTTGTAGCCAACATTCCTCATTTGTAAAAATGAAGGGAAAAAAACAACTCTGCATATCTTATATAGGGTGTTGATGAAAATTACAAGGCGTTAACACAAGTAGAATAATTAGCAATGCATCTGGGAACTACCCAACAGTATTTGTAACTGTAATTGTATAGTAACTACCAAATAAACATTCGTTAATGAACTGATTTACTGTCTCAGTATTTGAGACTTTATGGACAAAAAGGGGAATTTCTAAAAAATTTAAAAGGAGGCAAGTATTGTGGTTTATACCTGTAATCTAACTTCTTTGGAGACCAAGATTAGGACAATCAAGGCTCAAGGCTAGCCCAGGCAAAAAATTTATAATATCTCATCTCAATAGTAAGCTAGATGTGATGGTATGCACCTGACATTACAGCGCAAAACAGAAAATATAAGTAGGAGGATCATGATCGAGGTTGGCCAGGGCAAAAAGCAAGAGTTCTTTTTAAAAATAAATAGATTAAGTAAGTAATAATAATGAGCTCCAGAATCATGGATCATGCTATAACCCTAACTACTCAGGAGACTGAGATCTGAGGATTGAGGTTCAAAGCAGGAAAGTCTGTGAAACTCATGTCCAATTAACCTTCAAAAAGACAGAACTAGAGCTGGGCGCCAGTAGCTCACGCCTATAAGTCCAGATACTCAGGAGACTGAGATCTGAGGACCACGGTTCAAAGCCAGCCCAGGCAGGAAAGTCTGTGAGAATCTTTATCTCCAATTAACCAACAGAAAACCACAAGTGGTGCTGTGGCTCAAGTGGTAGAGTAATAGCCTTGAGCTGAAGAGCTGAGGCACAGCACCCAGGCCCAGAGTTCAAGCTCCACGACCAACCAAAAAAAAATAGGTAGAAGTAGAGCTGTGGCTCAAGTGATAGAGCACCAGGCTTGAACAGAAAAGCTAAGGAACAGTGCCCAGGCCCTGAATTCAAGTCCCAGTATGGGCACTAAAAAAATTAAAAATAATGAAAGCTTTTCAAAGGACTGGAGAAAAAAAGTGTGGGTTAAGTGGTAGAGTACTTGTCTATCAAGTGCAAGGCCCTGAGTTAAAATCCCAATACTACAAAAATAAATAAATAAAGGAACTTCTAAAGATAATACTAAGATATACCCTCATATATATAAGTGTATATAAGATATACACTCAAGTCATTACCAATTACAGATACAACCATATTAACACAAATCTTATGCTTGTCACTAACAAAGTATAGCAGGTATGGGTTTGCCATATTATTTCCTAAAATTGAGACCCTAAACAAGTGCTCTAGCTTTGCACAGGAAAGAGAAAGTATCACCTGCTTATTGAACTCCACAGCAGCCTTTTCAGACTCAAACATGATGGACCAGTTTTGTCTCTGGTCATCATAAAAGGTGCTATAGTTATTGGGCCGAACCTGGAGAAAAGATAAATGCTGGGGTAATTCAAGCACAAGCATCACTGTGGGTTAATCTGTCCAAACTCACAGAAAAGGACTTGGCTCAACTGCACCTAAGGAGAGGTATCAGGGATTCTTCTTCTTCCCTCCCACCATCCACACACCACCCTGAAGTCCCTTCCCCTGAAGGCAACCAAGAGACCTTTTGAAAGGCTCTGTTTGCTGATGCCGAGAGCCAAAGTAGTGGACCTAGTTTCTACCAGCTATGTTCAGACCCCTCTCTTCTTGCAAGCCTATCCCAAAGGTGCAATTGATTTGATCATGGGGAAATCTTACCACCAGCTCAAAGTTCAGATGAATCCTTGCAACAGTAACTGGCTGTTGCTGACTGATATAAAGGAGAATCCTATACTGTATTCAAACAAAATGGGCAGAAAAGGAAGAAAACAGAAGTTAAAAGGCAATACAAAATCAGCAGTATGATATAGGCTCCTGCTTCATACAGCTATAAATCCTAAAATCCTGTTCTAACCTTCTAAGTTTAGATTTTAAAACTTCTCTTAAATTTTTAGGTTTTGGCCAAGCACTGGTGGCTCATGACTGTAATCCTACCTACTCAGGTGGCTGAGTTCTGAGGATAAAGGTTCCAAGCCAGCCCAGGCAGACAAATCCATCAGACTCTTATCTCCAACTAACCAACAAAATGCCAGAAGCAGGGGTGTGGCTCACATGGTAGAGCACCAGCTTAGAGCAGAAAAAGCCTTGTGACAGTGCCCACACCATGAGTTCAAGCTCCAATACCGTCACCATTAAAAGAAAAAAAAATTAGATTTTAAATTATAACTTTCCAGTCTTCATTTAATTTTTTTCTTGCTTTGGACTTACTCTTCAAATGTAATTAGCAATGTCTTTATTAGTATTTCTATTCAAGGGTTGAGAACTTTTTTCTTGCTAAAGGACATTTGGATATTTATAATATCACTAAAAAGTCTAGATTTAGAGGGAAGGACAGAGGAACAGAAGGATACCAAGGAAGAAGGGCAAGGGAGGAAAGCGGGAAATTTATTTGAACACTAGTAATAAGTGAGAATATGTATTATGTTTACTTTTATTAGGTATGGTAGTTTTGTTCTTACCTATCTTATTTTCTAGAGTTACATACTAAAGAATTTATAGCTGGGGCTGGGAAGTTGGCTCAGTGGTAGAGCACTTGCCTTGCATGCCTGAGGCCCTGAGTTCGATTCCTCAGCACCACATAAGCAAAAAGAAAAAAGCCGGAAGTGGTGCTGTGGCTCAAGTGGTGGAGCGCTAGCCTTGTGCTGAAGAGCTGAGGGACAGTGCCCAGGCCCAGAGCTCAGGCCCCACGACCAGACCCCCCCAAAAAAAAAACAAAGATTAAAGAATTTATAACTGAAATTGTGTAGGAAATTTGTTCAAAGTAATCTGAGTGGGAAAAGGAGAAGTTGGGGTTATAGATAAAAGAAGATTAATAACTTTTAGTTTAATAATGAAAATCTGTGCCTTCAATATGTAAGCTCTACAGTTTTATATGTGCTGCAAATTTTCCATAATTAAGGGTTTTCCTTTTTGTTTTTAAGACAATGCGTATTATCTATTATGTCAGTTACTCTAGAAAAGTAATTTTATCTCTCTGCCTGAGCATCTCTGAGGAACATGAACTCCATGTGCTCTGGACCTCTGAAATACCAGAAGTTCTTATGCTTATCTCAACAGTGCTCAAAATCCTCCAGGGCAGTATTTGAAGCCAGATAGATCTATCTACTCAAGGATGTCCATCTTGGGGCTTTCAGCCACATTTATTTTATCCCTATTACTTTACTATAACCAACTGCCCATTCTTACTTTCAAACTTTCCAAGGATAAAAACATAATGCTCAAGATGGGACAATGAATATTCATTAACTACCAAATCAAAAAATATCCTTGATAACTCATTTAAAGCTCTCCAAATTCTTAAACTAGGACCATATCACAAAAGAGATGTCTAATGAAATCATTTTAAGTGATTAGATTTGTTTTAATACACAATAGTAGCAAACACCATTTACAATATCTTAATATTATATATTAACATTCAAGGCTAACCATCATTTTAATCCTGACAACTGAGACACTGAGCCAGCCCAGATAAATAACCAGCTCACTGGTTATGTTTAGGACAAGGGAATAGGTATAAAACGTGGGATACTCACATCTCTGGCTGTGTGGTTACCCAGAACTGCAGCACCAAATTTTCCCTGCTTTAGGTACTGACCATTTATGCTATTGAAAAGGAAAAAGAAAGCAGCATTAATACTCCTCTAAATTATGCAGAACCAGCTCTCTTTTCAGGAACACAGAAGTCAGGATCTAGTCATTGGGCCTCTAGAAAAAGAACCAAGATGAGCAGTTTATAACTTAAAGCTCATATAATATCTTGCCTCTTTAAATATCTAACAATCATAGTTCTTAGGGAAGTCGCTTTCTTTGAGAACTTAAAAAGGTAGTTGTGAGAGAACAGCACTTAAAGAGTAGACAAAACAACCACTCTACAAGTTTGATCTGGTGAAATCTCCAACCAAAATGTGAGGAGGGTCAAGGGTGCTTTGTCTGTAGAAGCACTAAGAAACCAAACCAGTTAGCCATGAACAGTGACTTCAGGAGAAAAGAGAAGCTAAACTACAGTCCCCTTCCCTCCCTCCTCCAGCCTCCCAGAGCTTTCTTAATCAGCTACTTACTACCGGTAAGCATGAACTGCTGTTGCAACCAGGACTGCAGCAGTGCCTGTGGGAGCCGGGGCTGGTTTTGGTGGTGTCTGATTTCCTAAATATGAAGAAAACAGAAGTGTAACTCTTTTCTTGCTTGAAATTGATTTTAAATGTTTAGCTTCAAAAATGATGTATACTTTGCAGTTAGTGTTACAATGTTTTCATGATCATTATTCTCACTTGATCTACAAAACAGTGCTTGATCTTGTCTGCTGGTGAAGTAACAATACAAGTGCCCTAGTACTGTACACAATGATAGCAACAAACCCAGGACTAGAACTCAGGACTCAAAACTTTTGAGCAATATAGTACAAATAGAAGTTTTGGGTCTGGACAAGAAACACTATACAGTAATATGGCCATATTCCATCTGCTTTTTATTTTCCTTCCAATATTATGGCAGCTTTGATACATATAATAATTTCCCTTTCTTGTACTACTGGCATTGGAAATTTAGGGTGATATCTAAATCATGTCCACTACTTAAAGTCACAAAGTGCTAGAGTAATGCTAAAGTTCTGAAATAGCATACTAAGGGTAATTTTTTAAGTTATTTTTTTTTTAAATAGGGCCTCACTATGTAGCCCAGGTTGGCCTTAAATACAAAATCTTCCCGAGTGCGGGGATTAGCATGAATCACTGTGGTTCCTGGAAAACTGCGAATTTATGCTCAATAGGCAAAATGTGTAAATGGAAGCGAAGTAAGATAATATTAACACAAATTACAAGTGCTTCTTTTCAAAAACTCTCCTTATTCTACCTTTTTTTATACTGGAATTTTTGATTTTTGAATATAAGTATATTGTAGAAAACTTAGAAAATATAAAAAAAGCCCAAAGAAAATCAAAATGATCTATACTCCATCACCCCAAGTAAACAATGTTAATAATTTCATACATTTATTCCTAGTCCTTTATACACATCAACTCTGAGGCTATTTTCCTGCTTGTTAAGCAAAATTAATGATATGGCTAGGTATCAGTGGCCCACATCTGTAATCTCAACTACTCAAGAAGCTGAGAACTTAGGATCACAATTCAAAGCCATCCCAGGCAGACAAATCTGAGACTTATTTCCAATTAACCAGCAAAAACTAAATATGGAGCTGTGACTCAAGAGGTAGAACACCAGCCCTAAGTAAAAAAGCCAAGCAAGAGCTCAAAGTGCTACATTTAAGCCCCAGCACTGGCATACATACACAAAATTAATGGTAAAATCTGATATCTTCCTATTCTCATGCACTATATTATAAGCATTTCTCCATAATGTTCGAAGGTACATAAAATACTAGGACTATCACAATTTACCTAGGTCCTTGTTACTTGACATTTCTTAAGGCTGTTTCCAGTATTTTTCTCTACTGCATATTATAATTCCTTAGAGGACATTCTTTTGTACGAACCCTTTCCATTTTATTAAAATAAATCCCTAAAATAGAGAATTATGAGATGAAAGAATAGAAGAGTTTTTAAGGTTTGGTTCCATCCTGCCCCAGCGTCTTCAGAAAGGCCCCATTTTACACTCCATCAGGAGAATGGGTGGGCTTTATCTTTGCTAACAGCAAAATTTTCTTTTTGCAGCTTTACCAACATTGAGGTTGTTTTCATTTGTATTTATTACTTATAGGGAAGGAGAAATTTCAGACTTTCTATTAGATTTGCTTAAAAAAACAAAAACAAAAAAAACACTGACCAATAGCTGATAGCTGAAGAGTCGAGCACTGTCTGGCATGGGTGAGTCCTGGGTTCAGCCCCCAGTGTGCATGTCCACAGGTGTGCATACAGTTGCAAAAATAAATTGTCCACTTCTGTTACTTACTTTTTTTCTAGTGACCTTTGCTATATTTCTTTGTTTTATAAATACCTATAACAAGCCGGGCGCTTGTTACACCTGTAATCCTAACTACTCAATAGGCTTAGATCTGAGGATCATGGTTCAAAGCCATCCTAGGCAGAAAAGTCTGTAAGACTCTTTTTTTTGGGGGGGAGGGAGTAGGGGAGTCAGTCATGGGGCTTGAATTCTGGGCCTGAGTGCTTTCCCTCAGCTCTTCAGCTCAAGGTGAGCACTCTACCACTTGAGCCACAGCACCACTTCTGGTTTTCTGGTGGTTTATTGGAGATGAGAGTCTCATGGACTTTCCTGCCTGGGCAGGAACCATGACCCTCAGATCCCAGCCTCCTGAGTAGCTAGGATTATAGGCATGAGCCACCAGTGCCTGGCTCTGTGAGACTCTTAACCCTAATAAACTACTCAGAAAAGGCCGGAAGTGGCACTTTGACTTAAGTGATAAGAGTGGTAGCTTTGAGCCTAAAAAACTCAGGGACAGCACTCAGGTCTTGAGTTCAAGTCCCAGGATTGGCACTTAACAATAAATAAAGTAAATATCCATGATATAGTTCAGTTCACTTAATACTTTTCAGGTATTGTGTGTATGTGCACACATGTTGTATGTATGTGTATGTGTGTGTTGGTAGTGGAACTTGAACTCAAGGCCTTGAGCTCTAACCTGGCTTTTTCACTCAAGGCTGGTGCTCTATCACTAAAGCTACACTTCAACTTCTGGCTTTTTGCTGGTTAACTGGAGTTAAGAGTCTTGCCAGGTGCCAATGGCTCATGCCTATAACCCTAGCTAGTCAGGTGGCTGAGATTTGAGGATCATAGTTTGAAGCTAGCTGAGACAGGAAAAGTCTGACACTTTTATCTCAAATAAACTACTCAGAAAAAGCCAGTAGTGCTGTGGCTCAACTGGTAGAGCACTAGCCTACTCAGAGATAGCACCCAGGCCCTGAGTTCAAATCCCAGGACAGGCAAAAAAAAAAGAGCCTCCTGGGATTTGTCTTTGTCTGTTCTGGCTGTTTACAGAGCAAGATTCTCACATCTCAACCTTCTGAGTAAGTAGGATTATACAGGCAGGAACCACTGGAGCCCAGCATGCATTCTCCAGTTATATGTAACATTACAATAAACCTTTTCTCCTGATAAGCACACTATGGCAGAAAAAACAGTAACTAATGCCAAAGTTAGATTATCTGGACAAGCATGGGGCACTGCATAAAGTTACTGTCTTCCAAGGACAGACAGCAATCCTTCTTTAGTAGTTCAGCTTCTTCCAGTGAACTCAAGCCAACATGACCCTATCGGGTTGCCTGGAGAGGGAAGGCTGTTTGCGTGGTTGCCAGATGGATACATTGGCCAGATGCAACAAGTGCGTGGGCTTCTCCTAAGCTTAGCATTCCTTCCTCTAAAATCAGATTTACACAGATTGTGGGCTTCCCTCTGAGGAGGAAATCATTGTGGTTTTTTTCCTAAGTTTTTTTTTTTTTGGTCCAGTCATGGGGCCTGAACTCTGGGCCTGGGCGCTGTCCCTCAGCTCTTCAGCTCAAGGCGAGCACTCTAAGCTTGAGCTACAGCGCCACTTCCTAAGGAAAGTATTTTTTAATTATAGTTTCCTTCTTCAGGGTATACAAATGTATATATATATAACATATGTGTATACATATATATGTGTGTACACATATGTGTATGTGCACATATGTGCCTATATATATACACACATATATACATATTCCATAATTGAATCTTCACTATCTTCAACATGTATCACTTTCTCTTGAATCTATTATTACCCCCCTTGTATCTCTCTTCTCTCCTCTCTCATCTCTCTCTCCCTCCTTCTTCTCTCTCTCTCTCTCTCTCTCTCTCTTTCTCTCTGGCAGTATTATAAGGGACTTCCACCTGCTAGGCATGTACTCTACCAATTAAGCCATGCACCCAACTTTTTTTGTTTTAGTTATTTCTGATATAGGATCTTATGTTTATGCTTGAGCCAGACTATTCCTTGATCTTCCTATTTACACTTCCTGAACAGCTGGAATGACAAGCATGCACCAGTCTTCTACACTAGTTCAAGAGACCAAAATAGAATTACTCATACTTAAGTTCCACATCTCCAAGAAAAAACTGGTTGTCTACTTGACCTTCTCAAATCAAGAGAGAAAATAAGAATAGCCAAATTCCCAATCTAGCATATGTCTACTATGTGTCTGACTTTATGCTGTGCCTCAAGCCATTTTTTGCAGGTAAGATAGTCCCCTAGTCCACCCTCACCCCACCTCAACATACACACTTTCGCAAAAAAGAAACACTATAGTGACCACTCAGCTTTTTGTTCTTTGCTCTTTTCAGTCCAATTGGCTTTTTGTTCTTTGCTTTCTTCGGCCCTTTTATGCCTATAAGGCCAAGCTCTTCCACTCAATGAATCAGAATATTCCATTGTATAGAATGAGGTACTGCTCAGTTCTAGAATAGCAGGTAAAACCCTACTAAGCAAGGTTGTAAAATTAAAACTTTTGTAATTTTGTCTTTTGACAATGCTATTGAGATGACTTAGGCTCAGGCTCTAAAATGGAGCTAGTCATCAGAAAAATGGAAGGTTGTAACTTTCAGCTCTACTCACCAATCTCTAGAAAAAGTAGGCTGGAGATCAAGCTCTAGAAAGTGTCCTGAGAGCAAAAGCTGAAGAGCTTCCAGATTACAGAATATCTAGCTAGCTATAAAACTTGGAGGAACAATGTACTGAGAGAGGGCCTAGGAGATATGCACTCTACTACCACACTATACCTCCTTACCTGGCATTTGTCTGAATCTTTACAATATCTTTTTTTTTTTTTTTGTCAGTCGTGGGGCTTGAACTCTGGGCCTGGGCACTGTCCCTCAGCTCTTCAGCTCAAGGCTAGTGCTCTCTTGAGCCACAACGCCACTTACAGTTTTCTGGTGGTTTATTGGAGATAAGAGTTTCATGGACTTTTCTGCCCAGGTTGGCTTTGAATCGTGATCCTCAGATCTCAGCCTCCTGAGCAGCTAGTATTACAGGCATGAGCCACCAATGCCCAGCTACAATATCTTTTACAATCAGCTATCAAACATAAGAAAATGTTTCCCTGAGTTCTGTGAGCAATTCTAGCCAATTAATCAAAAAAAAGGAAGGGGATCATGGGAACGCTGGTTTGTAGCTGTGGTCAGTCAGAATCTAGATTTGTGACTGACATCTGACTAGGAATTTTATGGAACGAAGTCCTCAGTCTGATACTATTTTCAGGGAGATCATCTAAGCACTGAATTAGTTATAGATACTCACTTCATGTTAGCTGGAGAATTACTCTGTATGTGAGAGAAACTCCTACACAGTAAAGCAAAAGGAGGGGCTTTTAACACAGGCCAAATATAAAGGATCTGCTGCAAATACTCAACTCTGAGATGGTTATCCTCAGTGCCAGCACTGTGTCTAACATGTAAAAGACACTCAATATTTCAATATTCATTTGACAACTACTAATTTAATGTCCCTTATAACCTGCTCTCCTTGGGCCTTCATTCCTCATCAGATTCTTACACAAAAACAACCACGTGGAGGAAAGAATAAAAACTGCAGAGTCTGTCAGATCAGAGTTCAACTTTCAACTCTGTCACTTATTAGAGGGTTTTTGTTTGTTTGCTTGCTTGTTTGTTTTGGTAATGGAGATTGAACCCTGGCCTTGCTCATGTAAACCAAGTATCCTACCACTTGAGTCATGTCCCTAGTCTCTTATTAATATTAACCTTAGAAATCCCTAATCCTTTCTGGGCCTCAAAAATCAGTAGCTCATGACTATAATCCTAGCTTCTCAGAAAGCTGAAATCTGAGGACTGAAGCCAGCCCCAGCAGAAAAATGTAAGACTCTTATCTCTAATCACCAAAAAGCCAGAAGTAGATCTGTGGCTCAATGTTGAACACCAGCTTTGAGCAAAAAAAAACTAAGGAATAAGGAATGACCATGTGGGGGTGTGGCCATTGGACAGTGTTTATTTAGAGTGCCTTGGACAGTTTTAAAGAGTGGTGGCCACATGAGACAAAAGAACATTCTTGTAACCTTCCCCATCAAAAATTTTCCCCAAGCTGCTAGAGCTCAGGATCACAGAAGAAAGAAAGATATCCATTAGTGATGGTGGGCTTAGTCAGGCTGGTCAAGGATGCATGATATAGCACATCAGAAGGAAGGTCCATTTATCATTCCAACTAGCCTGTTAAAGCCCAATCTAATGCTTTACAACTTACCTGTTGCTGCTGTTCCTTGGCCTTTCTTAGGCTGCTTTGGGGCTGTGTACTGAAAGAATTCATTTCCTTGGCCAGAAGTTGCATCATCCAATCCAAAAAGAGAGGCCAATCTGGCACTGTTAATAGAAAATGAAAATAAATTTTCATTGAACATATCTCAAGCCTGGAATCATAACAAAAGCTTCTAATAAATGAATGACTGTAAATCCCATCAACACAACACTGGAAGTGATAGCTAAGAATCTCTGAAATCAAGATTATATTTTGTGATCTGAAATTATCAGCTGACCTAATCTCTAAACCCATCTGATATTATTTCCAAAATATTTCTCAAACTCATTCCCTGTTCTTTCTCCCCTAGGTCAGGCCTCCATTACCTTTATCTAAGTTCAATGATCACAACAACTTCCTGATCCCCCAGCCTTAGTCTTGTCTGCTTCTTATCTCTTCCCCTAATTGCACCCACAGCAATCTTTCTTAAGGATACCTCACTATTACCAAGATAAAATCCAAACTCCACAAGACAGCTTTACAAGGTCCTTCAAGTTTTTACCTCCCCTCCTTTCCCCATCTTCATATTTGGCCATTTCTCATCTTCAACTGAGTGCTACAACTACTCTGAGAATCTCTGTATTTCTCACACAAGCCCTTTTCTTTGCATACCCAGAGCCTCATATATGGACTTCATATATGCTAGGCAAGTTCCTTTAACCACATGCTCTGCCCAAGACAAGATCTTTCAAATTCCAGTTTTTTGTTTTTTGTCGGTCGTGGGGTAACTCGGCTTGGGTGCTGTCCCCGTGCTCTTCGGCTCAAGGTGAGTGCTCTACCACTTAAGCCACAGCACCACTTCTGGTTTTCTAGTGGTTTATTGGAGGTAAGAGTCTCAGGGACTTTCCTGCCCGGGCTGGCTTTGAACTGTAATCCTCAGATCTCAGCCTCCTGAGTAGCTAGGATTACCAGCGTGAGCCACCAGCACCTGGCTTCAAATCCCATCTTTTAGACACTCTGCTGCCTCTACCTGAAACAGTCCCTGTGTTCCTCCTCTCCCCAGAAGTTACTTGTGATTTAGGTTACATGATTGTCCTAAGGCTCCTGAAGTTCTCCATATTTCATTCCTTCAAGGTATATCAGACACCACGCTAAATATTAGGTGTACACTGATGAGCACAACAGGATTCTATTTTCAAGGAGTAGTTAATCTAATGAGGGGATCAGACATTAATATATGATTGTAAATTATGAATTATGTAGCAGGGACAATGGTTATATGCCACTGTGGTCCGTAAGATCAGTAGAAGTTATGCAATCATTTATCAAATAACATATACTTGATCATTTATTAAAATCACCACTTGATTGCATGTTTTGCTCACAGTCTGACATATAATATACTTCAAAAGTGTTAATGAGGGCTGGGAAGGTGGCTCAGTGGTAGAGCACTTGCCTTGCATGCATGAGGCCCTGGGTTCCATTCCTCATCACCACATAAGCAGAAAAACCCAAAGTAGAGCTATGGATCAAGTGGTAGAGCACTAGCTTTGAGCTAAAGAGCTGAGGGAAAGTGCCCAGGCCCAGAATTCAGGCCCTGTGACCGACCAAAAACAAAAACAAACAAAAAAAAGTGTCAATGAATGTGTATGTCCCCTTCAACCCAGCAGTGTTGGTAGGTGGGGTCCAATGGGAGGTAGTAAGGTCATGGAGTGATTAACATTGAATTTTAAAATGGCTTGATTTGCAACAAAACAGCTTCTCCCAGATGATGGTACCTTGATTCTAGAGGGCTTTCCTGTCTCCAGAACTGTGAGAAATATAGTTATTTTCCTTATAAATTACTACTCTGTGGTACTCTGTTATAACACAAAATGGATTAATACAATAATGAACTCAAAGTCTAGTCCAGCTTGAGTTCATCTTCTCCAAAGGCATTCTAAGGTTTACTGTGTAAATATTCCAACTTCTGTACACATTTTTGGCCATTTTTAAACAACATTTACATTGATATGTACATCAGCATTTTATAAAATAAATTCAGTATGATTGAAAACAATTGCCTTGTTTTCTCAAAGAACCTAGGATAAGTTTCCTATAAATGGGGCCAAAATGTTTATTGTAAGGTCCAAGATATTTAAATGAGATCGCAAATATAATACTTGAAGGAAGTAGAACTGACTTAAATAAAACATTGACAAATGCTAATGGAATTTAGAAAAAAAAAAAAAACAAGATTTCTCCTTAGCCAGTGCAATCTAGGCAGATTCCCTAGAAGTAAAATTTTAGGAGAATTTGGCAATGCCTTTTTTTTTTGCTGGTTCTGGGTGCTGTCCTTCAGCTTATTCTGCTCTACTACTTGAGCCACAGCTCCACTTCTAACATTTTTTTGACAGTTAATTGGAAATAAGAGTTGCATGGACTTTCCTACCTGGACTGGCTTCGAACTATGATCCTCAGATCTGACTCCTGAGTAGATAGGATTGCCCAGTTATTAATGCTTTTTTTTTTTTGTCGGTTGTGGGGCTTGAACTCTGGGCCTGGGCGCTCAAGGTGAGCACCTTACCACTTGAGCCATAGCACCACTTCCAGCTTTTTCTGATTATGTGGTACTAAGGAATCAAACCCAGGGCCTCATGCATGCAAGGCAAGTGCTCCACCACTGGGCCATCTTCCCAGCCCGTAGTAATGCCTTCTTACAGGGGAAATTTTTATGAAACTTACAATCTAGTTAAGATTTGTTTATAAATGAATAATTGATTTTTAAAAAGAATGTCAAATGGGATTGTACAAGGTTCTAGGCTCAATTCTAGCACAACAACAAAAAATAAACCAGGGCAAATCACATCATTTAATAGATAAGTTATGGAAATATAAGTAGGGGTGCTGACTTGTTCCACCTAATGTTTAATACTCCTAACAGTAGGCAGAATCAACATTAGAATTTAGGCTTTATACATAGACTTTATATATAACTGCTGCTTTAAAAAATGCTTGTAGATGGGTGCCAGTGGCTTACGCCTATAATCCTAGCTACTCAGGAGGCTGAGATCTGAGGATCACAGTTCAAAGCAACCCTCGCAGGAATGAGGCTCTTATTTCCAGTTAACCACCAGAAAACCAGAAGTGGAGCTGTGGTACAAGTAGTAGAGTGCTTTTCTTGAGCTGAAGAGCTCATAGATAGAGCCCAGGCCCAGAGTTCAAGCCCCATAACCAAATTCCCCCCCCCCAAAAAAATGCTTTGTAAACTAAATGCTAATGGATCACACCTGTAATCCTAGCTACTGGGTAGAAAAGTCCATGCAACTCAAAGTGGAGGTGTGGTTCCAGTGGCAGAGCATGTCTTGAGCAAAAAAAAGCAAAAACAAAAACAATACAAACAAGAGCTCAAGGTCTTGAGTTCAAATCCCAGTACCATCACCAAAAACAAAACAAAACAAAACTTTGTATGGGTACAGGTGGTTCACACCTATAATCCTAGTTATTGAAGAGTTGGAGATTCAGAGGATTGTGGTTCAAAGATAGCCCAGGCAGCAAAATTTGTGATAAGTCGACTCCAAAATAGTCAGCAAAAAGCAGATCCGGAGTGTTAGAGCACCAGCTGAGCAAGCACAAGACCCTGAGATTAACCTAGTACTATAAAAAAAAAAAAAAGCTCTGTTTAAAAAAAAAAAAGTGGGCATGAGTTGGACATTGGTGGCTCATATCTGTAATCTGAGTCACTATTCAGGAGGCTGAAATCTGAGGATTGTGGTTAGAAGCCAGCCTGGGCAGGAAAATCTGTGGGGCTCTTATCTCCAAAAAGAATAAAAAAGATAGAAGTGAAGTTATGGCTCAAGTAGTAGAGCACTAGCCCTGAGCAAAAAAATAAAAAAGCTCAGAAATAATGTCCAAGCCCTGAGTTCAAGTTTCAGGACTGGAACAACAACAACAAAAAAAAGTAGGCATGAAGTTGGGCACCAGTGCCTCATGCCAGTAATCCTATCTACTCAGGAGGGTGAGCTTTAAGGATAAAAGTTCAAAGTCAGCCTGAGCAGGAAAGTTATGAAACTCTTTTTTTTAATTTAATTTTATTTGTGAACATACTGTACAGAGGGGTTACAATTACATGGCAGGATAATACGTACATTTCTTACCAAGCATTGCAGCCTCCTCCTTTGTTTACCCTTCACATCCCTTCCCAGCCTCCCCCCAGTTATGAAACTCTTATCTCCAATTAACCACCAAAAAGCCAGAAGTGGAGCTGGGGCTCTAAGCAGTAGAGCATCAGCCATGAGCAAAAGCTCAGGAACAGCTCTCAGACCCTGAGTTCATGCCCCAGGATCAGTTTTTTAAAAATGGGCGCCACTGGGCGCCCATGGCTCATACCTGTAATCTTGAGATCTGAGGCTCTCGGTTCAAAGCCAGCCTAGGCAGGAAAGTCAGTGAAACTCATCTCCAATAAACCACCAGAAAACCGGAAGTGGCGCTGTAGCTCAAGTGGTAGAGTACTAGCCTTAAGCTAAAGAGCTGAGGGACAGCGCCCAGGCCCAGAGTTCAAGCCCCGCGACCCACAGGAAAAAAAAATAGTATAATCTTAGTTATACAAGCAGCTGAAGCAAAAGGATCATTTAAGCCCAGGAGTTCTAGTGTAGCCTAGATACACAGTGAAAACCTGTCTCAAAACAAAACAAAGGGGTGACACTGATCAAGATTCATTGTATCCACACACTACCTATACTGTTGAATGCCAACTCTTTTGTACAGCTACTTAAAGATAAAACAAAAATTATAAAAGAAAAAACAAAAAGAATGCTTTGGGATTATTTTGCTGGATTGACTTTCTAACTCTAAAAATAATTTCTTGGGGGTAAGAACTGTATCTGTGCCTATCTGCATTGAAGCTGAATAGCATGCCTTTACCAGTCATTCACACATTTCCTTATTTCTATGTCACAATGGTAGGGAAAGAGCTAAGGCAGGAAAAAAGGAAAAACAAAAATAAACAACCTAATTATTAGTCTGTAGGTTAACCAGGGACTTTCAGAGGCCCAGAAACATGAAACGTAGACTCAGTCATCTAGACGTATCAGTCATTAGCCATGCTAGGCACTGATACTCTGTTTCTCTTAGGCTTAATATCCTATATAGGATCAAGTAAGTCATATAGTTAATTCAAGAGACTTGAAGCTTAAGCAAGTTCATTTGCAACCAATTGCAATTGTAAGAGAGGAACTGAGAGCTGCTTGTTCAGTGTCATATGATTTACTTCCTCAGAGAAACCAAAGGAAGAAACATCTAAACCATAGAATGTTAATGAAATGTTTCCCACTCTTGTTTTAAATTTCATCCGGTTTTCCTGGTTACTGTTGGGGAACAAATATTATCTGTATAGCTTCCTTTCTTTTTTGTTATCAAATCAGCTATTGTCTATGTCTAGACACAGTCACATGATTAGAATTCAAGTGTCTTGGATCCTAGATAAGCCTACTCATGCTCAGGAAAGCCAACTAGTTAAGCCAGGAAGAATTTATCTTGGACTAGGAATCTAGAAGGAACACCTGACTGTCATTGTCTACTTTGTAACTTTTAGTCAGCAGTAAACTGAGTGATCCCTGAAAGTCAGGAGTGTTCCTTTACAGACTCTCCCAAATACTTTCACATAACAATGTGCCCTGCGCATGTGGCTCACACCTATACTCCTAGCTACACAGGAGGCTGAGATATGAGGATCACGGTTCAAAGCCAGTCCGGGCAGCAAAGTCAGTGTGACTCTTATCTCCAAATTAACCACTAGAAAACCGGAAGTGGTGCTGTGGCTCAAGCGGTAGAGTGCTCGCCTTGAGCTGAAGAGTGCAGGGACAGCTCCCAGGCCCAGAATTCAAGCCCTAGGACTGACCAAAAAAAAAAAAGAACAATTAATGTGAATTTAAGGCTGTAGATGTGGCTTAGTTGTAGAGTACCTTCCTAACAGGCATAAGGCCCTGAGTTCAAACCTCAGTACCAACAAAAAAAAAAGTGCACATAAGGTAGACTGGGATAAAAAAAAAAACATTAATTCAAAAGATTCACAATACAGCAGCAGGGGGGTGGGACTATGTGGAATTTGTAGTGAAGGTTTAGTGTGAAACAGGAAAGAAAGTAAACAATGAATGCCCCAACACTAAAATAATTACAACTCAAAGTGGAATTAAATGGATACAAACAGTCTAAAGTAAAGGCAGGGGTGGAATAAGGTGGTGAGAGAGAAAATAATACTTAGGAGCTAGTCAGTGAGGGCCAAAAGGTCCTTTTTGACACCAGGTGAAGGTTGGTTCATTTATTTTATGGTCTTTCATGTCCTGATTCTCCATAGGGCTGAAAGCAACTTGAGGGTGAACACTCTTGGCACTTGTAGAATGATAGATTTATGTCGTTAGATCCATCACTCTTCAGTACATTGTTCATGATAGTGTGGCAGCTAACAGGTATTGTGTAGACAGAACACAAGGGAGTATAATTACTGGAAGAGGAAAACAAAACGCCTTACCTCTCTTTAAAGACTTCCCAGGTGAGCATACATAATCTTTGAGGGCAGAAAATAAGAGCCTACAGTGTCTCGCATTGGTTTTAAACCTTAGGGTTTACAAAATGCAATTTCATAGCTATTATCAAGGCACTTTCTGAGCACTCAATACAAGCCAGGTACCAGTACCAAGCAAAATGAACAACATAAGCAATGCCTGTGCTTACAAACACACACTGATGGGAATAAAGAAGAGGAAGCAGTCTATCCTGCCTGGGGCTGCGGAAGGGAAAGCACACGCATACACACAGAGAAGTGACAGCTGAGGTAGGCTCTGAAGGATGCTTGGCGCTGACACAACCAGGACTTGCTTCTGAAGTGCCATCGCCTTGTTCACAGAAAAGAGAAAGTCTCGTGTAGTTTCAGCTCACAGATTAATGGGCGCTGACTCCCATTCGAAACTCTCCAGACAGCAGTCTCATCAGCAATCACCCCCATTTCATTGGATGAGCTATGATTCAGGAAGGAAAAGGCGAACCCAGGGTCATACTACAATGGCCAAGGGAGATGCCAGGCCCAGAACTCGGAACTGCAGACTCTACGGTAGAGTTGCAAACTGTCCCCGGGTTCTAAGAAGCCCCAGCACCAGAATGGGGCAAGACCCGGAAGTGGAGAGGAGGCCAGGGAAGAGACGACCCCCCCCCCCCCACGGCTCCAACCATCCTCCGGCCGCTCTCGGCCGGGCCTTCCGGCTCCCGCTTCTCAGTCACTCACCCGCCGCTAGGCGAGAGGAAGTCTGTGTAGTCCTCGTCCTCAGCACCGAACATCGCGTCGGCGTTCGTCCTGTTGCACCCAGGAAGCCGGATGTTCCCAGGACCTGTCACCACCACCGTCGTAAAATGCCGCGGCAGCGCGCTGCTTTCCGGCAGGACAACTGGCACCGTGGCTTCTACCGAAAGGAGAAACGGGACTCTGGAAGGAAGGTGGAGCAAAGGCAAATGAGAAGGCGAGCGCCCCGTGACGTCAGGTCTCTCCAGGCCGTGGCGGGAGGGGTTGGAGTTCCGAGGCGCTGCGTGTGATTGGCCAGACGGTCCAGGGGGCGGGAAGAGGCGGAGCGAAGGCGGGAATCCTTCGGTGGCCTCTGTGGCAGTTGTGGACACGTCGTGCCGGACAGAACTCAAAGGGGCTTCTGAGAAGTCCTGAGCGGGGACGGGTGGAGGTTCCGAGAGGGCGGCGTTGGTGGCGGAACTCGACCTGGGAAGAAGGTAAGGCCTGCCCGCCCTCTCCTCCAATCCTGGCGTGTGCACCGTCCTTTCCCCTCCGTGGGACCGGGACCCTCCGCCGCTCTTCTCTGCCGGGCGGAAGGAGAAAGAATCCGGGACTACACATTGGGAGCCCCGAGCTCTGGCCTTGGCTTGCGATTGATAGAGTCGGCGTGACCTTAGACACGTTGTTTGCTGCCTCGGCTTCCTCGTCTCTGCAGCGGGTGGGGTTGCCCAGTACCTTCATGTGCCAGGCTGGTCGTGCTTTTCAACTTCGGGAGATCTTCTCCAAGTCCGGTCTCCTCATAATCCCAGAATTTGCACGTAAGGAGACGTAAGAACTCCAGTACCGGAGTGGCCAGCCCGAGGTCACACAGAGTAAAGGGCAGACTGCGTCCTCTGAGTCGGGAGTTAGCGCGCCGGCGTCCCGGTCCTTCAAGCGCTGTGCACCCGTACCGAGGTGGCTATGTATTGCTAGACTGTGTGGCAAAAGCCCGGGGAGAGTCACGGTTCTAGAATCCATGCAGGTGAGATACAGAAGAGCTGGGATGTTCTGGAGGTGGATGATGGGAAAGAGGAAACTTCGAACGTGAGACCCTGTCTTCTTGCTTGATCTGGATTTGACTCTTGTCTCTCTGCCCCAGGCTCATGGTGGCGATTTTTTCTGCCCACTGTCTGTATGTCTTGCGTCTTTTGTGATTCGGGTGCCATCCTTGGGACTAATCTTGGGGTTCACCTGGCTTAGCCAAGGATAAAAAGATGGAGTGCCAGTGTAGGGACCATTTTCACAGACCTCTCTGGACTTCTTCTATTCCAGATTGTCCCTGATCCTTCAGGTGTCCCCAACCTACATGTTTTTCATCTTTTGGCCTGATATTGAAGTGATTGGAAGCTCCCTTCCCAAAGAATTTTGTACCTCTTGGCATTTCTCCTGTTGAACTTTTTATTGTAGTTTGTGTACTACTGAACTGTGAGTCTTCTTGCCCACAAGAGGTTCTCATTAATTTTTTATTAGATTGAATAATGGAATTTATTCTGGTTCCCTATTCCTTAATTTGCTCTCAGATTCTTTGGGGTTTTTTTGTTGTTTGTTTGTTTTGTTTTTGTTTTTGTTGTTCCCGTGTGTCCCAGAGAGCCCTGCCATGGCTCTTGCCTTTTATAGCCAGCTTCCAGAAAGATAAAAATGCTGTACTGGCTGTGAACTGTCTGGGTTGCTTAGTCTCTTTTGTTAATTGAAGTCGATTGTACTGTTGTCTAAAACTCTAGGGGAGGAGCATGAGGGGAATAGGAGAGTTAGAAATATTACCTGTAACTATAATTTTGATTTTAAGTAAGTTATTCCTTCCTATAACTGAGAATAGGGCTGCTGGTTTGCTTCTTGTATTTATTTTACAGATTAAGATGGCTAAAGCAGTGAAAGGTGAATGTTAAAGGAATAATGCAACTGAAATATAAGTACTAGAACTTGTACCAGTTATAGGAGCTCTATTTAGATTTGTACTTGGTTTGCTACTTCTGGAGTGGATTGAACAAGATAGGTACCATAATCCTTTCCAACTCTTCTCCCCAGTACTGATGTTCTCTAAAAATGCCAAAGGACCATTTGAGCTTTTATCTTGCATTTTGGGGTAGAATTGTTTTTCTCCAAGGTGTTCTTTAGGTTCTGGAATCCTAAAGTCTGCCTTTTTGGTGACTGGGACATCACCACCAGCCATACCCATGGCTGGTAATCACACTTTGTGATTTTCGTTGGCAGTATGAGGAAGAGAAAGATGGAGTATCTCTCCCAGATTTTCAAACTTGGCAGTGCAGGATTGGGTGCACCTGAAAAAAACATTGTGTTCTAAATTAGAGTATCCCCAGATTGGCAGTAATGAAATAGGAATTCCGGATACCTGAATTTTTGTCCTGGCTCTTCTGATTCACTCTGTGTTTGAGCCAGCTCCCTCAACACTGTGTACAAGGAAGTGACTACAAATGTAGTCACATCTACTTTGTGTCTGTAAGTAAGGCATAACCTTGATGTCAAGTTCGAATTAAGTATTTTGGTTCATTTGTTTTGCTTAAATATGTAGTGTATTGATAGATTCATAAAAGATGACTAGGATTGACTAGAAAGCGGAAATTGTACTTTTAATAATGCTTACATTATTAAATAATTTAAAATTTATTGCTTGAATAATTTCTTTCAAATCATCAGAAAATTTGTAAGATATTTCCATTTAATGTACAAGTGTATCCATACTAATCATACTAGTGAGTGCATGCATTTTATGATTAGTGAGGTTATAACCAAATTGTATCATAGAAACATGAATTGGATATGTGCTTGCTAGATTTGTATATTATTCAATCACTAAAAGCAGAAGACTATCTGAAATGAATTCAAGAAGTGTCTGAAAGCCTACTCTGTACCAAAGGTTCTATGGTGAGTGTTATGTAGGATAGGAAATGAGTAGTCCCAAAACAAAATAAAAAAGTAATAATTGCAGAATTTCAGAGGAGGAAGAGATCATATCTAGTTTGGAGGAGATTATAGGGTTAGGTAATAGATTTGGAAGAGAAATAGGACTCCAAGAGGAAGTAAGAAACTAGATTAAGGAGGCAACTTTGGCAAATATACAAAGGCAGGAAAGATGGTACAGACTAATAATACTGAAGTTGCCCCTCTAATCTGATGTACTTAGGGCCATTTGTTGTTAACTAAAAAATAAAAATGTTAAAACAGGAAATCATATAAGTTTTTGTTACACATATGTTTTACATATCTAATTCTAACTTAAAATATAAACATCCTTTGCCATTTTTTAACCTATAGCTATAGCTATATTTTTGGAATATGAGTTTCTGGGTTTAACAAACTATAGGCAAATCTTATCCCAGGCCTCTGTCTATTTTTATAATAGTTTTATTGCAGCACAGCCATCCTGGTTTATTTACATATTATTTATGGCTATTCTCATCCTTGAAAACATTCTCATCTTTGAAGAGTTTCAGCAGAAGCCATAGGGCCTATACAGTCTAAAATGTTTGCATTTGGCCCTTTACAGAAATGTTTGCTATTTGGCCCTTTACAGAAAGTTTACCAACCCCTGGTTTTCTTTAACATACAATGAATAATTAACTTAAAGCTATTTGCAAAGCAGCCTGAGTACAGCATCACTCAGAATCACTAGGTATTCATGAAATTTCTTCCAAAACTCTCACCGGTCTGACAGTATGACTCACCTTTATCTAGTCATTTGAAAACATTGAACTCCAATGTGTATAGAAGCACACAGCCAGAGAGGCTGTGTAAGATGATAATAATTGTATTTTAAAGCTCAGGAATCAAATTTCTTTGCTACTTAATACATAGGCCTTCGGCAAGTTGCTTATCCTTTGTAAGTAGGGGCAATGATAATATCCATTTTCTAGAATTTCTGTGATGATTGTATGAGTTAATTCATATAAAACACAAAGAATAATGCCAGGAAGGTAGTACCTAATCAGTTATTTGCTGCTGTCATTTTTCTTATTCACACTTAATTGTTTTGCATAATACTAAATCAAACTATAGATTGACAACAATAAGCACAACTGGCATAAATTGATCTGTGAGTAAACACAACTGACACCCTTGATAAGCACACACTTCACTAAGGGGAAGAACAGAAGTGTTGATCCTGTCATCTTAGAGAATTGCCTAACCAGTGTGTTCTCCATGCTAAGAGAGTTTTTCAGGATGGTTTCTAAGAGTGTAAGACGATAATGCAGAGTAGAAATAGATCAAAGTTGAAAAGGAATCAAAATCATATTTGCCAGTTACTTTGAAGCCCAAAAAGACAAGTTTGTACTTAGCTTGAGGCCAGACCCTATGTAAGAACTTTCTCCAGGGGTGGTATACACTTGTAATGCTAAATGGGAGGTATAAATAGGAGAATCATATTTGAGGCTGGCCCCAGGCAAAAACACACAAGACCCAATCTGAAAAATAACTAAAGCATAAAGGGCTAGAAGTATAGCTCAAGTGGTAGAGTAACTACCTAACTAGTACAAGTCCCTGAGTTTAAACTTCAGTACACTAAATTAAAATTAAACAAATGACATGATTATATTAAAAAAACATTCAAGTGGTTTAGGAATATATGAAAAGACAAAAGCTTCATCTAGCTCCACTCCATGTGAGTAGTCCCTAGAACGAAGGGGCTGTGAGGACTGACTGAGACAAGTGAAGCATGGTAATCACTACTAAGCACTAGAATGAATATTTAAATAAATAAATAAATAAACTTCAGTCTACTCTCTCTTTGGATTATAATCTCAATTTTGAGTTGAGAAATAAATTGGTTGCTCAGAAAGTACAAGTTTATATTCTAAGTCCCTGACCCTTAACTCTGTACTTTCTGTATAACAGGGAAAAGATGGCAATTATCACTACAAAGCAAATGTTTACAGTGATATGACATCAACTAGTAGAAGTCAGGTGAGTGAGTGTCCTGGGCAGCCAGCACCCAGATAACTCCACCATTTAAATTGGCCAGGCTGCCATGGCTAGGGGAAGGGGAGTGGCAGCTGGAGGAAGTTGCTGATGCCTGTACTCCCACATGGAGCTCTTGGCATAACAAAGCCATTTTAAAAACTCACAGGTGTCCTGTAGTTTGTGA